GACTAAATTAAAGCATTATAGTACAGAAAAAGTTTGACCAGACTCTCACTTGGCCTGGAGGAGGGCCTCAAACTCTTTATGTCCATGGAAATGTTCTTCCTTTGGCTGTATTTAAAATGGCATGAAAACATTTCTATCTCTTTGGAGAATGTTCCAAAATATGGTATTAACTTTATATTTCCATCCAATCATGCATGTCACGTGCCCCCTCCAGGTAGTTACAGTGTTAATTTAAGGATTTCACTGTTGGACATGGGTTTGATAATCATTATGTCCAAATTGCATGCTAATCATAATGTTAGACCATACCATTAAATTAGATTTAAATTCTTACTTTTGTCATTTAACCAGCTCTGCAGTGTCTCTGTGACATCAAAGGACAACCACTTGTCTCTCATGTCATTTATCATGAATCGTGATGCTAGGTAGCGTGCATGGGAATCTACTCCCTGGTAGAGCTCAACGCGCTGCTCATTGGGGATATTCGTGTTTTTGATGAACATGCGCAGCTCGGCCGTGGTGAGCAGCCGATAGTCTCCCACACTGTTCCGTATGTCCGTCATGTTGAAGTACATGGAGACACGATTGGAGTTCTTTGTTGTCTCATTGTTGCCTGTGAAGGAAGAAAATTTAAAGCTGTAAATCGAACAAATATTTTCATTCATTCAACTCATCTCTGTATTTGGGTTGTAAGAGTGTAAGAAAGAAAGATGCCATTTCTGTGCTTTATACCAGTATTGGTCTAAAGTACAGGAGAATCCAACTTTTAAATTAGGTATCATATTAAAAAGCGTCCTTTGGAGTTTCCCATATAATTGTACCAACAATGCAAGAATACAAACCCATGTGTTTCAGAAGGATGAAAAACTAGGATTGTTGCCATAGCAACTGACGTTTAAACCAATCTTTTGGACTGCAAAAAGTTCTCAGAAAAAAAAGCATGAATAAAACATACTCTATATTTCAGTGCAACAGCTTTGTCATAATGCTGTTTTCAGACCTCATTAAAATTACAAACCTAAATTGTCCAAAACACAGTCTAAATGTTTATAGAAACTGCATCATTTTGCTTGTTCATTAAACATAATTAAGCCAAATAAGACAGATTTTTCTTAAACTGCTGTTAAATTCAGTAACGGGGGTGGTTAACTCGCCCACAAAGTTGTTTTACTGTAATGAGACTTTATTTCTCAGTTTGACCATATCTTGACAGCAAGAACATTCCTTCTGTAAAGTTTGATGAAAACCAGAGCCAAGTTAGGCCTTTGGCTCCATAAATTTACCATTGCTATATTAAAGAAGCATTAAGTGCAATAAGCTAAGTGTAAGAGGAACCTGTTTAAAAAGAAAAAATACAAGCAAGGCCAAAGAAAACATAAAGAATTGCCCTTATGTGAATGTAGCATGTGTATATATTATATATATATTTCTGTTTAGTGACCAACAAAGGACAACAAACTGTTCAGTTACAAGTATTGGCAAGTTTTAGCAAAGCACCATCTATCTCAACATGCTGCAAAAAGTGCTGATTGAAAATAAAATGAAAAATAAACAAACTTTTGTGGTAATTTTTCAAATAATAAAGTAATATCTATGCAGTTTTGTGGACTTGAGGAGCAAATCCACAAAAACACCTTGTGAATGTAGCATATGTGCTAGAGGGGCAAGGTGTTTGGGGTATACAGAAATTGGAGATTGGGGTGTGAAGGAGCCCAAGACTTTTCACTATGCCTCAGCCTGTCAACAGCACATACCTCAAATCCAGGAATTGCTCACTTACTGACAGTGGCTACACAGCAAGAGTCTACTACATACTTGTTCTGCCAAGACGGTACCAGGATCCTCCACATCCCAGCTGCCTCTATCATTTATGAGCTCAACCATCTGTATACATAATGTACTGTATGTAGTCTATCCCTTGCAGTAAAACTGACACAGAACTGAAAACACCTAAGGGAAAGAACATGACATTTTACTGGTTTCACCCCATATACGAGAAAGTGCATAGATAGTCACACAACACTGTACTGAGTAGCAGAGTAAAAGATGTGTCAAAGAGGTCAAGCTCCGTGTGAGTTTAAATGAGTATAAAAATGTGTTAAGGGTTAGAGAAGTTGTTGCAAAACAGGAAATAAGATCATTTCCCTCTGAACTACATTGGCTGCACTGCAAAAGACTTATCTGCACTTTACATATCATATCAGTCTATGAATATAACATAATGCTATAGTTTCTTAAATAAGGTCACTATTTACAATTATATATTGTTAGTACTATTAGTAATTTTAAAGAGGATGTATATATATATTTATATATCAGGTATATTTAATTTTAAATATTTGGCAAAGAGGATTTTATTTCTGGTTTAGAAACACAAAAACATTTAACTTTTACCTTTTTTTTCTACTGGTTTGTAGAATTTTTATAGCCTATATCACGATTTAATTTCGATTCATGCAGTTACCATCATTTTAAGCCAGTAAGACACAACTTAAGTCATATACTGCCTCTGAGAGTCCACACTTCACTGTAATTAGTTAAATCCACCTGTCAGTTAGAGTTTTTTATTTTTTTTTATTTCCATATCACCCCGGTCCAGACCGAAGTACATATGGTGGAGTATTTAAATTAATTCTGTTCATTTTACTCAAACAACATTAAGACAAATATATTCTGAGATGCTGCTTGAGGCAAAAAGTTTGAGACTGTATTGCGCATAAGTAATGTCCTATATTGGTCTAAAGTGGTGCAATTTAGGGATGGATAAACAGTGTGGGGTAAGGATAGACTGGTGTGCACTATCTTGGGTGTGGAGGGATTTGTGTTGTCGAATCAGGGCCTATGGCAGGTAAGCCCAGGACAGCTGTTGTGGCAGGTACGGCGTTAGCTCTGTAATTACCCGAGGGAGGGACCAGATTCCTGCACCACGCTAAATGCTGCCTCCTTGATACGCTCAGCTCCACCTTACAGCCCACTCATCGATCACTGGGTTTATCAAAGCTTTTACATGTAACAGTTACATGTGATGCAACTGTCTTGTTTGGCAAATCAAATGCAAATCTAAGATTGGGATTAATTTAATTGGAGCAAATTTCCTGTGAAAGGAGAACATCCCCTTTACTGAGATGGAATAGGAATGTAGTGTTATTTTGTAATCCACCACACAATTAAAATGATGGACTAATGCTAATAACTCTCAAGTGCTTTCCACAGATGTGCACCACCCTAGACTATATCAACAGAGCATGTGCCATACTTTTACAAGACAAAAGCTTTTAGAACACATTTATCGAAGACATGTAGCTCTGTGGGTCTTCTACAGTGATTAATAGCCCTTCACTATTAATAATTAATTTACCAAATCTAGTGTAGTTATTTGTCTGATATAAGTTCTGATATAAGAATAGTAAACTATTTAAGTTTAGAGTTTTTTTGGAAAGACAAAGAGCAAACTGAAGCTAACCAGAAATTAAAATCACGTTGGCTATATTCTACTACCAGGGGAATATTGTGAAACCCTAAACTAGAAGTAAAATAGTTTTATAAATAATCGTATTTAATTTGTTTAAACGAGTTACTGAAACCCTAGCCTAAACATAACCAAGCTACAATAGCAAATAGCCATCGGACTGGGCTGGGTGTTTCTGGCATTTCCACAGAGTAAGGAAGCACATGCTTCCCATGGGCATCACTAGCACCGGAGCCACTCTATCAGCGAGCTTTCCTTCCTGTTACGCTGCCCTGTCACAAACATGCACTGGCTATGACCACACAAAGAAAAACAGGAGAGTGAAACAACATAGAAATGAAAGATAAATATTAAGTATATAAACATGATCATGGGCATAGCTGGGATGAAGGCCTATTGAGAACAAGTGGCAGGGTTAGTATGGGAGAATCCAAAGCTCAAGTTACAGGAAAACCCCATTTCCCTGAGGGAGAGAGGCCGGAGAGACAGACAGCAGGGTGAGGGTGAAGGAGTTTATTCACGTCTTGTCTCATCTGAGCTTTGTTTGGCTGCTCGTCCTTTGGTTTTCATCTGAGCAGAACCAAATCCTGCCACTTATTTTGAAAGCACCTTTGTTCTCTCCTGGTGCTGCTGATTCCAAGTAATGGTTCATCCACTCACATCTCTTTTGAAGTGGTGGATAAGACAGGGATAGTGTGAACGCCTGCCTCTCGGGGAGTAGTATAGGCATGTACAGAACAATTGAGCTAAGAAAGAGTGAAAAAGATATGTTTACCGTCAGAGTTCTCCTTACACACAATTATTGCCATATTTTCTGTTGGCTGAACAAACAGCACATGTACTCCAGCCAGGAGTGATGTTAATAAGCAGTAAAAATGCCATGGATATAACGAAACCCACTCAAATCTTCAGTCCAGATGTAACAAACTAGCCCTGCTAACTTGTAACGCCTGTGAACTTTGAACTCTGGAGCCTGCCTGAAGATATTGGGATGAGATGAGAAATGTTACACATGTTTTGGAATTTTGGCTCTTTTTAAAAAAGACCAGGGATTACTCATTTGGGCAGGAGCAGCTGTAAAGTAAAGTTTATGTAATGACATTTGCAATTAATTATAGGCCAATTTCTCATGACAAAAGGTATCTGAACTTTGATTAATCTTAAAAAAAAAAAAAAAAAAAAAAAAAGACACATGTTCAATTTGGTTAATATTTAAAAGGAAGCATAACCCATTTCATCATCATCAGAATCATAATTATTTTTTACAGTAAACATATGTGAAAGAACTAAACCATCTGTCCTTGATGCTGTAGTACTGCCATAATGCTACAACTTCACACTCAATTTTAATACCAGAATAAAGGCTTGTTATCCAACATAACCTTTTCCAATACAACAAATGATCATTTAATGTCATTTTTGCACATAAGAGACAATACCTTGATTAGTATTTGGATATACTTTTTTTTTTTTACCATCCTAATACAGTGAATATTTTTGGTCACTTTGTCCAGCCCAGCTGCAGTTAAAAAAGTTGTAGTTCTAATGTATTTTCTTTGTACTCACTAGTCATGTTGAACTTGTGAAGCACCTTGGCGAAGTACTCCTCCTCCTCCTGCTCAATGAAGATGTCAGTGGGGGCCTGTGGTTGCTGTTCCTTTAGCAGGTCCTTAGTGCTGTTGTAGAGGGACAGTAGTGTGCTCGGGATCTCATCCTGGTCTCCATCCTGCTCCGGCTCCGGTTCTTTGGGCAGGCGCAGTTTACTGAGAATCTGGCTTCTAATCGCCTCTATGCGCTTTTTCTTCACCATCTCCTGATCTAAAGTCTTACATGTTGACATAGAATTGACTTTTCCTACAAAGTACACTGCCATAATGATCATAAAGAGGACCTTCATGGTGGCGTCCAGAAAACAAATGCACCAATTGACTTTTTAATTCTTTCTCAGCTACTGCCTTCTTCAACTTAGGATGCTTAGGGAACAGTGAATCACCAAGAAGGAGGTGTTACTGACGCAAGGTGTTTACATATAGCAGAATAGTCAAAGCAGTGTGGAGAGTCCCAAAAAGTTCAGTGACCCAGGTTGGCAAATTGTGGCAGTGCAGTCCGCTGTAAAAATACTTCCTCTGTCTTCATTGCATGGGAGCAGGTGGGAGAAATCCTATGAGTTGGCAGACAGGCTTCAACTGATGAGGCAGTTTGTGACTCAACCTCGCAGGTAACACAGTGACGTCCCAGACAGTGAACCATGCCCAGAGTGGAGCTGTCAAATGCTACTACAAAGCCTGGCTGAATGTCATATTGTGCAATGAGAGCTCAATTCTATCATCTTGAACGTGAATCTTATAGTTGTTTTTAGGCTGGTTCCACACAGTATTAACCCAGCAGAATAAAGTCAGACATGGCTCAACCACATTATCACAAATTTAGTCCAAGATATGATTTTTTTTTTTTTTATCGTGTACATGTGTTTATCATAGCTTTTAGTTTCTATTTGAAGTTTTATCAAATGACCTCTTGAATTTAAAGGTCAGATAAACTTCTCAGGGGACTTGAGTTAAATTAGAGGCGATCAAATTTCCACTTGAGAGAATTTAATCATATCAGTTTCCACAGCCGTCACACTACGCCTGTTATTAAGACAAGTGTCAGGAAACATCTGACATACACAATGCCCCTGGCTGTGACTACCTCTTTTTAGCATAACAGCATGTGATCTGTGTGCAGCTGTATTTGTACAAAAGGACTCTCATTCAAGTCTCACTGTTTTTGTTTGCACTATATGAACACGTTTAATTCTACAGTTCTCTGAAATTCGGCATTAAATTTGGCACAACTTATCTTGAGGACTTCCAGTGATCAGGCGCAGTAACCCCAGCAGTAGCAGTCTCAGTTAGCTCACACTTGTCCGGGTCAGCTTTGTGTCAGTGCCCTCTGTCCATGGATGTCTCTGAGGTGCTGTATTCTCCTCTGCAGCTTCTTCCTCATGTGGAGCTCCTCTCTCTGCTCCTCTGTATTTAACTCCCTCGCTGCCTCTCTCCTGGAGCTTGTCAGAGCTTGCTGGTGACAAAGTGATTTGTGGGCGCTGTAGGCTTAGATAACTTTTCCTTTACACTCTCTTGCTCTGCCTCGCTCTCTTCCTCCCTCCCCCTAACTCCTCTCTGGTTCCTGTTACTGGTCTAATAGTGTGGGGAGCTCTCTCCGCCCAGGAAATGAGGGTAACGGCCGCAGTGTAAAACATCTGCTGTTTAACATAGATCTTCTCTGCTCCTGTCCTCACTAAGAAGCACCAGCTATCTGTAGAGAGACACTTTGTCATATTAACTATACTCTGCTGAGTGAGTACACAAGCTTTGCATGGCACACTATTATTGGACAAATTTACATACTGGATGTTCCCCTCAGTACAGATAGCCCCCCAACACCCCAAAAACATCTCTCTCAGGATAAGTGAGCTAAGGAACTTTCAAAACCATGCGATGCACTGGTCCTTTGTTTTGGGTAATGGAATAATGTGAGCTATTTTGAATGCAAATATCAGAACAATAGCTTAGTTTTTTTTTTTTTTTTTTTTTGTCTGTTTGTTTGTTGTTTGTTTTTTGTTTTGTTTTTTCAAATCTCAAACAGCATCAGATTTTATGACGATTTAATTGTTTAGTGACTGGCTGCCAACTGTACATTGTTGCTGTAAGTAGGCCCTATTAGCTACTAAGTTACAAAGTAGGCCTATAACCTAATTTATTGGTCAATGATACATTCATGACACCAACATTAAACATAAATTGTTGCTAATAGGCCTACTAAATTACAGATGGTGAAATAGTAAAAATTACTTTCCAAGTGAGTAATGACGCCTCTTCATGTCTCCCAGTTGTTCTTCGCGGTCCACAGTGCCATCTGGTGGACATGGACCTAAGTGTAAAAACAAGAAAATAGCATACTAACAAAACTATGTAAATTCGCCTGTTTTGTTATTAGACTGAAAGGGACTACAGTTATTTTCTCTGACAACACTGTTCATGATTCGTCGCGTGAAGTATTAATTCATTACCTCCATTATGTCAATCTCAAATCGCACAAACACACAGAAAGTCCCATCAGGCGCGCTTACCTGCGGTTCACCACCTGTCGGAAATGGCGTTCTCCCTGGTAACCACGTAAGTTTGTCCTTGTGCGTCTTGAAACCTGCGTAACGTGTGTGGTGAATTGTCCTTCGTATTGCGCTTTCAGGCGCTCGAGTCTTTTCTCCCTGTGGCCAAAGTGGCAGAGGGGAGCGCACACGTAGTTGTGCTGTCGAGCTTGAGCTAAAGTGGATAAATTATTTGTGGAATATGAAAAATAATAAATGATGAAGACTGAATCTACATTTAGATGGTGGGTAAAATCTGGAGTGCATCCTGGAAACTGGCGACGCACCGGACGAGGATAAAGCACGCATAAAGTGAGTGAACGTTAAGAACGTTATACTGTCATCAGTAGGCTTTGATAATGGCGCACACATAGATTTGGAGATTTTTTTCTTAAAACCCACTCAGTATCAGTTTAGACTACCCTATTAAGAAATGGGCTATTTATCCGTTTATTTTATCAGCAATGCATTTTATTATTATTGTTCATTTCACCTTAAAGATGCTATATGAAAGTAGTTTTAGTTAAACCATTTATGTGAAGTACAACTATATATATAATCATTTTGGCGAGAGTGCATCTGGTAGACGAGTAACATAGGCCTACTACTGAATGTTTCAAAGTGGTTTTAAATTTTATATTTGCCAGCTGAAAATGGAGAAGTATGAAAAGCTTGCCAAAATCGGTGAGGGTTCCTACGGTGTAGTGTTCAAATGCAGACACAGAGACACCGGTCAGATTGTTGCCATCAAGAAGTTTGTGGAATCTGAAGACGATCCAGTCATTAAGAAGATTGCATTGAGAGAAATACGCATGTTAAAGGTACGGTTGTGTTTGTAGGCCTATTTTAATTTGCTCTTGTGACAGTTTTCGTAGTGATTTAGATCCTAATTTCATAATTTATTTTTTAAAATAGTTTCTGTCTCTGCATTTCTTGCAGTTAAAACATGTGAATCTGGTGAACCTACTGGAGGTGTTCCGGAGGAAAAGACGGCTGCATTTGGTCTTTGAGTTTTGTGAACAGACCGTCCTCAATGAGCTGGACAAACACCCCAGAGGGTAAATTTTACTCTGTCCCTGAGTGCATGGGTTAGAGATTATAATGAAGTCTGAGAAGTTAAAGAGTTACTAACAGTATGGTGTGTACAAGTTTGGATAAATATGAAATAACTTAATAACTCTGTTGTTTTGTTGCTTATCCTTACTATAGATAATCATTTAATACATTTTATTTTGCACATAAATATGCAAATCATACTTGAATGTTAATACATATTTATTTATACAGCTCTGACTGACAAATTTAGAACCTTAAAAAGGTGGGGTCTGTTCAAAATTACATTTATAATTAAACATGAACAGTACCCAATAATTCAAATTATTGAAAGTGATGACTTTAATTTGCATATAATGAAAAACTAAATTCTGTATCTCAAATAAATATACAAACAAATATAAGCAATCTTTTGCATAATCATTACCTTCACAATCTAAGTAAATCCTTAACATATTCACCTATCTTATCCATTTTTTCATATTTAAATGAATTTATGCTTAACTATATACCTGCAATGAAAAGGCAAAGATTAAAATTATTCATGCACAGTTTGCTGTGGCTGTCCCTGCATAATGTCCCTCCATTCAACACAGTGCCATTGCTTGTTTCTATGTAAATGTCACTGTGAGCTGTCGCCTCTGCAGCCATGTTTCTTTTCCCACCAGCGAACTACAGAAACTCTAGCTGCTCTTGGAAACAAAGGCACTGTTGCCTCTAGTGACAGGCCTAAGGTTACCCTGGCCATCAGAGCAACCAGAGCAAAGAGCCACTTCTTCTTTTCAAAATACTGAAATAATGGATGTGACCTGACGTGATAGCACTTAATAGTATTCTCCCAGTGTTTTAAATGTAACTCCGCTCTTGGTCTGCACAGTGTCCCCGAGGCCCAGCTCAAGAGTATAGTGTGGCAGACTCTCCAGGCTGTCAACTTCTGCCACAAGCACAATGTATGTATTACATTATTATTTATAAATGATATTATATTATAAACAACAACACATACCACAGTGGTATTATCCTAGGTCTGCTTTTATAAAACGAATGTACTGTTATCAATCATGCCTCTTGATTCTAAAATGTTGTTCACACTTAAACATAGTAAACATATTAAAAATACTTTAACATGTGGAAACTATAGTATAGTACAAAGCATCTCTTCACTGTTTTCTTTAAGGTCCCTGTATAATAAACTAAATAAATAAGCTGTTACATGATATCTATTTCCATATTGATTTTTAACCAAGAATATAAGAATAAAAATCTGCCATTTGCCTTGTATATTACTTATATGGTCATGTTTTGGACTAATCATGTAAAGACCAATATTGCAAATAGCTTGCCCTTTTCTCACTTTTTTCTTTTATTGAACTTTTTCACAGTGCATCCACCGTGATGTCAAACCAGAAAACATCCTTCTGACCAAAACTGGTGTAATCAAACTGTGTGACTTTGGCTTCGCTCGGATCCTGAGTAGGTCACCCAGAGAGCAGTGCATTTATGAGCATTTAGAGTTAATGTGCCACTGATGACTTATTCAGCAAGCGCCTTATATCAGCTCCTACTACCTCCTCACTTTCAGCGTTTGAGCGAATCAATTGCATAGGAGGGGCATTGAGCCAGTTAGTGCACCTGTGTGTGGCGTGTCTCTGTTTACCCTCACTGCCTTGGGTTTCAGTGTTATGTTTCCATACCTTAACATGAAGACATTCAGTGAGCCTTGTAATCCCTTTCTCTACAATGTACCTGCTATTTAGTGTCTATTATTCAGTATTCCCTGTTTTTTCTTTGTGCTTAAGCTGGGCCGGAGGATGACTACACTGACTATGTAGCAACGCGCTGGTATCGAGCCCCTGAGCTGTTGGTGGGGGACACTCAGTATGGGGCTGCTGTGGATGTTTGGGCTCTGGGCTGTGTCTTTGCTGAACTTCTCAATGGGAACCCCCTCTGGCCTGGGAAGTCCGATGTTGACCAGCTTTACCTGATTCAGAAGACTCTAGGTATCAAACACTGCCAATACTACCAAGGTTGAACAATAGTTACAAATAATTATGAGTTCAGTGTACCCAAATGCGATTGTAACAATTTAAGGAAAAATTAGCTTATGATTTACCTTTATGTGTACATTACATAACATTGCCTTCTCCCACACTGGGCAGGCTGTGTTCCTATGGAATAAAAAATATATATATTATAATAAAATTTGTTGGGAAATGCTCATACATTAAGATTGTGCCTACAAAAAAAAAAAAAATTGACAACACATAAATCATTATAAATATCTTTAGTTTCTGCTTTTATCTTTTTGTGTATATAGCTGAGAGATGTATTTGTATTACCATATTTCTTTTCTTTCTTTTTTTTTACTCATACATATACATTTATATAATTATGTCTTAATAATAATAATAATCATCTCAGTCTCTAGTTATTTTTGCTTTACTTATTATTACCATTTATACTTTTGCTCATTGTTATTATTATATATTGTGATGTGCAAGCTACTGCGTCTAAATAGTTTCCCTTGTGGATCAATAAAGTTTGTCTAAGTCTATTAACATAATTTATTAAAACATTGTCTTTTGTCCATACCAGGTGACCTGATCCCCCGACATCAGCAGGTGTTTCGGTCCAATGTTTTCTTCAATGGAGTCAGCATTCCTGAACCAGACACTACAGTAAATGTTTGAAAACTGGTGTATGTTACTATGAACTTTTAATTAATTTATATTTTTCTGTATCAAACTCAGGAGCCCCTTGAAAAGCGCTTCTGTGGTGTTTCTGCTAGTGCCCTCCAAGTAATGAAGGTGTGTAAACAATCCATCAGTTCTCCCTTTTTGATGATTAATAATGTTTATAATGCCTGTGGTTTAAGCATTAAATGTTTAAATTCTCATAAAAAGTATCATGTCTTTTTACATTTTAAGTATAAGGTTTTGATGACAAAGTTACAAAAGATTGCTCAGTAACATATGCATTGATCACACATATATTCTGTGTGTGTTTGTGCATGCGGACAGTCATGTCTGGTGATGGATCCCTCTCTGCGGCGGTCATGTGAGGAGATCCTGGAGCTGCCGTACTTCCAGGAGGAGGCGGCAAACTGGGCCAGAGACACAGATCGCCCCGGGAGACGCCACGACAAGGGCTCCAGGCGCAGACAAGCAGGGGTGAGTTACATGGTCCTAATGAGAATGAAGTAAGATTGATATTCAAATCTATGATCCCTCTGTTACAATACAGTATATTGTATTGATATTTGTTACTAAAATAGTCTTTGATGATGTGATGAGACTTGCTGTTAATGCATCATGATGCTGACCATAAATCCATCCAAAACAACAATATCAAATAGATTTGGAGTCTGTTTTTGTATTTCTGCACTTGTAGCATGTCCAAATGATGGAAACACTGAAAGTACTTATCCATGTTTTCTTGTTTTTAGGCCCAGTACCTGCCACAGTTACCACACTGCAATCTCTCTCCAGCACCTGATATAAAGAAACAGGTGAAGCATAAATATCATCTCCCAAACATCTAGATTTAAAAGACAAAAAGAATTTAGCTTTATGTATGAACATTCTTTAAGTCATTACAAAAACAATAACTCTCCTAACATACAATATCAACCCATTTCCTTATTGGCAACAGGCACATTTCAGTAAAGTCATGAAGATGTTTAAATGCCACAGATGTGCCATCCTCTATTGGCATGCTTTATGTGCACTAAGAGCAAATACTTTTATCTATATGTAATTACTAAATACATAATTTGTGTTTATAGAAAATACTTTATATTCTGCACTACTGTATACTTGGGCATCTCACATAAGTGTAATGTGAAACAATAACTGTAATGCGTGAATAGCCACCAGTGTGGTGTTTTTGTTTACCATTTGCAATTAAAACATCTTCTGCTTCTACTGAAGACTAAACTTTGTATTTAGTATCATGCTTATTTTAGTACTGTATTTGCATCCAAGCAAGCAATACATTGGTAGTTGGGACAAATGCCATCCATCTTGTTATGGGTCACAGGGAGCTGGAGTCTTTCCAGTGAAACAGGTAATGAGCTGGCTTAACAACCATTTTGTTCAATGGTGCCTTTATGAAAGCTCCAGAATATCCTCACAGACTGATTGAGTAATATAATGCTTCAAAGCACTGGTCTTGACAATGATCCAATGATGCATAGTGGCTTCTTTAGCGCGCTAGGATTCAAATTAGCACTCTGACAAACTGACACTCTAGCTTGATTGATCACCACTTTAAACTGCTCAGATTACAGCCTTTGTTTACGGTAGTAATGGGAGTAAGTGTAGCTAAACATGTTTTGTTTGAACGCAAGGATATTGAATTTCTTTAAAACTCGTCTTTGTTGTTTTAGCATAAAATTTATATTTACAATGATATTATCAGCAATATTTTAATTTATACACAGAAGTCAAATGTAGACAATAAAATAAGTGTTATATAAGTGTGTGTGCGTGTGTGTGTGTGTGTGTATATATATATGCATGTATGTGTGTGTGTGTGTGTGTGTGTGTATGTATGTATATATATAATATAATATATTATATATATTTATATATATATATATATATATATATATATATATATATATATATATATATATATATATATATATATATATATATACATAAAAAAAATGTGTTTCTCACCTTCCACGGTGGTAGGTCTCTCTCACCCTCATTCAGCTCGGGTCCTCTACCAGAGGCCTGGGAGCTTGAGAGTTCTGCGCAGTATCTTTGCTGTTCCCAGTACTGCACTTTTCTGGACTGAGATGTCCATTGTTTTTCCCGGTATCTGTTGTAGCCACTCTTCCAGTTTGGGGGTTACAGCCCCGAGTGCTCCGATCACCACAGGCACCACTGATGCCTTTACTTTCCAGGCTCTCTCCAGCTCTTCCTTGAGCCCCTGGTATTTCTCTAGCTTCTCGTGTTCCTTTTTCCTGATATTACCATCGCTTGGTATTGCGATGTCAACCACCACGGCTCTGCTCTGTTTCTTATCCACCACCACTATGTCTGGTTGGTTCGCCATCACCATTCTGTCAGTCTGTATCTGGAAGTCCCACAGGATCTTGGCTCGGTCATTCTCCACAACCTTTGGAGGTGTTTCCCACCTTGATCCTGGGGTTTCCAGCCCGTACTCTGCACAGATGTTTCTGTACACTATGCCCGCCACTTGGTTATGTCGCTCCATGTATGCTTTCCCTGCCAGCATCTTACACCCTGCAGTTATGTGCTGGACTGTCTCAGGAGCCTCTTTGCACAGTCTACACCGTGGGTCTTGTCTGGTGTGGTAGATCTGGGCCTCTATTGCTCGAGTGCCCAGGGCCTGCTCCTGAGCAGCCAGGATCAGTGCCTCTGTGCTGTCCTTCAGACCAGCCCTCTCAAGCCATTGGTAGGATTTCTTGATATCAGCCACTTCAGTTATGCTCCGGTGGTACGCCCCATGTAGGGGTTTGTCCTGCCATGATGGTCCCTCCAGCACCTCTTCCTCTGGACCCCACTGTCTGAGACATTCTCTGAGCACCTCATCTGCCGGGGCCTTGTCCTTGATGTACTCAAGGAGCTTGGATGTTTCATCCTGGACAGTGGTTCCCACACTCACTAGTCCTCGGCCTCCTTCCTTCCGGCCTGCGTATATATATATATATATATATATATATATATATATATATATATATATATATATATATATATATATATATATATATATATATATATATATATATATATATATATATATATATATGGGTCCAGTCAAGCAGTAACGGAGGGAAACAGTGGCAGATTTTTTTTACATTCAAATAGTTCTTATTCAGAAACTAGAGGGACTATTGAAATAAGTAAGGTATTAGAATGTAGGAAAGAGTTAACACTCCAACAGGATAAAGTTAAACCTGCAATATTCTTTTAAGTTGTTGACAAAAAATTAAAAAACTCATGTCGGTAACGGAGGGAATGAAATATGCAGCACTTTTTGGGCAATAAATACAAACAGCGATAACTAGCGGTTCTCACTTACATATCCTTAACAAACTGGTTTGAATATTTGCTTCATATAGTTTTCTACCATATGGTACAAGATTAGGTTGAAAAACCTCTTACTTTTTGAGTAATGAGATTTTTTATTAAGAAAGGTCATGGTAACAGAGGGAAAAGTAACAGAGGGAAAATTGTGCAAGCAAGTAGAAGGTGCATGATTTTGCATAATTTGTCATCTTTTTTCTTCCGAATACTTTAATATTACTTCAAAATGAAAGGTAACTATTTCTATAAAATATGTCAGTCCTTCCAAGCAAATTTGTATCATTTTAAATACTTTTTTTTTTTGAAAATTCATGTACCTTCATCAACAATTCAAAGATCGAATAACACAAGATATAATGAAATACATCAGTTTATTTACATGATTTGCAGGTCTTTGAAATTTGGGAAATAATTTTTGTTCCATGTTGCATACATGGTCTGTTTAAAACGTATGTAACTTTAGAACCAAAAATGGTACAGAAAAAAGGTAAACAGTTTCATAAACTACAGTACATATGCTATCTGTTGAATACATTTTTATATCAGATGCATTAACTTGAATTTTTGGCCTTGCTGTGTACTTCTGTGTATGTATGTATATATAATTTAAAATGTGTCAAAATTGTAAACTGAGTAAGCACAATTATCAAATGTCGCAGGCTGTAATTATTTAAATAGTAACATTTCTGCAAAGATCAAAATATCCTGTTGTACCTGTATTTTAGACATCTAACAACATGTCCAGAAATGCATAAGATTGTATTAGTTTATCAGTTCATATTTCACTCTTCTCTTAAATGTTGATGCTCCTGGATTTTTTTCAAAATCATGTAGCCACTAACACCTTGGTGTTGCAATAATGTTGTATCTACGATACACATTTGCAAAGCTGCTGAATTCTGGAGTCAGTACAATACTGTCCGGTCCTCCAGGGCAACTAAATGTAAAACGCTGCAGTAGTCTCACCAGGAATAAAAAAATCTCCATACGGGCAAGAGACTCCCCAACACAAGCCCTTTTTCCTGAAAAACAAATATAAAAGATAAAAGATTATTTAGATTATGATCCAACTTTTACATTTACATGATCTACTGTATATTGTACTTGTGTGTTTTACCAGCAGAAAAGGGAAGGAAGGCTGGATTTTTCTTGAAGTTGTCGTTTTGGTCTAGAAAGTGTCGAGGGTTGAATAAAAAAGGAGTTGCCCATTGTTTATCCTCTTTAAGAACAGAGTGCAGAACTGCGAAAATCATTGTGCCCTATATTCACAAGACAATATTTTTTATATTTTAATATTCGTACAGTCAATAAACATTTACTCTTTTGAGTGATGAATTGACCTTAGGTATCGTATAGCCCCTAAAGGTGATGTTGTGAAGAGCATAATGTGGAGCTCCTAGAGGTACAAAGTCAATAAAGCGTTGGACTTCATGGAGAACAGCATCTACAAAGGGGAGGGACTTTCTGTCTTCCATAAAAGGAAAACGCTCTTGTCCAATCACACAGTCAATCTCCTTCTGCATTCTCTCTAAAAATGAACACATACAAATAGAGTATAATAATAATATTATTAATAATATCAGTTAGGTCTTTTATTTGTAGCCAATAAAACATCTGTCACTCTACTACATCCACTTACAGAGTAAAGACCTTTTTTTCCTTTAATTAGTTGCTGTTAATCTAGTGGTAGGCTCTGCTCTTGTAGCTGGCAAGTGCTGGTGTTCTTAAGAATAACTGCTTAAATTGATGTACAACTCAGTACTACTTGTTTTGTTGGTTGCATTTTGTAGAATTACTTGTGTTTGCTGCTTGATTAATTGTAAAAGCAATGGGTATTATTACTATTATTTCTTCTGAACAGACATGTCATTCTATTTATAGCCAGGTCATTTCATGATTTTGAGAAATATTGCCTACCTTGTATTTCTGGATACTTGATTAATAGAGTCAAAGCAAATCTTATAGTGGAGCTAGTGCTTTCTGTTCCTGCAGCATACATATTCAGCACAGTGGAGACCAAGTTGTCATAGTGGAACTCAGTGGAAGTACCCTTTTCCTAAAATATACAAAGATACATTTTAGTAGGAATATTTTTTTTGAGTTTATTGATAAGTACGAAAATATAACCTTTATAGCTCTTGTAAGAAAACAGTCGATGTAGTCCCTTGGAGAGTTTGGGGCTAGAGTGTCCTCATGGTCTTTCACCTTCTCAGTTACAAACTCTCTGAGCTCTTCAATACTTTTAAATGCTTTTTGATGTTTCCCAGGTAACCACTCCATCAACCGAGGAAATATGTTGTACAACTGTGGGCAGAATAAAAAGGCTTTCACAATTCAAGCTATAAGTCTTTTGCAGCAACAGTGTCAAAAAAGTTGTCAAACAAAAACTCTTCGTTTGAAAACTCAAGGAAAAAGTACAAATGGATGTAAACAGCACGTTTTCAGGAGCCTGTGATCCATGCAACTGTTCATGGTCCTGTTTAGGTGTTTGATTTTCAACAAAAAAGTGAGAGAGACTAGTGACTGTAATTTAATGTGTGAGAGACAGCACAAATTATCTCAACTATTGTAGTTCTAACTAAACCAGCTCTTTATTACCAGAAAACAAACAGTTAGCATCACACTCCCAGGAAATGTTGATGACATCAGCTGCAAAGTGTCCATAGTGCAATGTATTGAGCTCTGATTGAGTTGAGCATTGAGACATTGTCAGTAGAGTGTCAGCTGTAATTGTTGTACCTTTTTTTTTAAACCATAGAGCACAGGCTACATATATATACAGCTTCCTTAAGTGATCTAATTAAATCATGTTGAAATATGTAGATATAATGACATCATCTTACCGCTGCCCAGGGACTGCTCATCGATGTAATTATTTGAGAAATATTCTGCAGGAGGTGGAGGAAGTGCTTGTCATCATAGGAAAAGCGCTCACCAAAAACCAGGCAGCAGATGACATTGGACACAGAGCAGCTCAGAAAGAAGGTGGGATCAAAAGGTTCACCTGCACAAAATGATAGATGGGGTCAGAAACAGATATGCAGGCTGCTATAAGTGTTGAATGTCTGACTGTAGATCACTATGCTGACTTGGTGGTGATGGAGTGTGAAAACTGTGTGCCACATAATAGATTTATGATTTTTAGATTATTCTATGGTTGTAGCTTTAATTGCTTAGGAGGTGTGGCCATACCTTTTAAAACTACAAAATTGTTTGAAAATTATAAAATGGTAGTTTTTCTTGATCACTTTGCCCTTCATATTTGAGCAACTACAAAAAGAATTTTAGAGCAACACGCCTGACTTAAGAAGATATAAAACATGCGCTGACCAAGTAAAAGTATTTTCAGTCTAACTAATCATTTTCCTCTTGCAATTATTTTATATATTATGTATTTGAAAAAAAAAATCAATTATCATTTTCTGTTATAAATACAGCCAATTGTTTCCCAAATATGAATTCTTTTATACAGTCTATGGAATGAACAAATAAATGAAACCTGTTAAAAGAGAACACAGACACGCATTAATTCATTACCTTTAATGTACAATTGTTGCAATTCTTTATTATTATCATTATTTTTATTAAGTTAATGCAAGACCTAGACAACTTTGTTAGGTTGTATTTATGTATTTATTTTTTAAAAATGTAGCGTACCATTCATTGTTTTGATTCGCTCCACCAGATGTGAGCTCTCCTCTTGGATCCACTGCTCCATTCCTTTGCGCCCCATCCCAAAGTCCCTCAGCGTGCTTAGAGTGAACTGCCTCAGCTGCCTCCAACGTTCTCCATTACTGATCACCAGCCCTTAATAAAACAATAAGGTTGTCCCATCATATGCTTGAAGGTGCACTATGTAACTTTTTGGTTGGAGGGTCTGTCATCTTCTTGCTTCTATGGAAGTGTCACTGCTCTGCTTAAAATGTTCCATTGTATGACATGGCCTGGTAGGGTCTCCATGATGATAGAAAGGTTTAATGCCATAGTGTGAAATATTCCAGACAAAGTAATAACATCTCCATGGAGAAAAGGAGATGACAGACCCTCCACCAGAAGTTGCTGGTGTATCTATAAGCATATTTAAAATAAGTAGTTCTAGTGTAGTACCATAGCCCCTGGTAATTTTGATTAAGAAAGGCAGTGGTCCTCTCCCGTTGAAGTCATCTGCGTGATCTACAAGAGCCTCCTTCACCGCGTCATATCCGACTAGAAAGACGACGCGCTGCAGTCCAGTGTTCACCATAATAACAGGGCCATAACTCTGACTCAGCTGTAGATAAACAACATGTAAGATTGTGCAAAGGAACTCTTGCCCCGCACTGTCTGCGTTACTTCCACATTTTTAACATTCCTTAGGGAGAGTACTTGGCTGCGGTGAAGTTTAAAAACACAATAACATGTCAATCTTTTCCTGCATTTGCCATAAAATTAACTATTCTCCCTCAGGTCCGCATAAAACGACTCAATACATACGGCAGGCATTACTCTTACCTTAACCACAGATTTGTACGGTGCCCTCCTGTCCAGTTGAAGCAGGTTTCCTAAAAGGGGGAGGCCAGTAGGTCCTGGGGGTAAATGCAACTGTCTGGAGTGTTTTCTACCCAAAAGCCACAGCAGAACAAACACGAGTAATGCCAAAATCACAGAGTCAAAAAATGCCATGATGTTCCTTGCATTACACTATCACTGAAAAATGAAAACTTTGCAGCTGTGATTGCCCAATCTTTGCAGAAGGGGGTGTGGTCTCAAAGTCCCTTTTTTTAATGTTGGGTCTATGTGACATACTTACCGGATTAACTATGTTCCCAATTAAAATGTACTTGGTGGCAAAAGCCATTTTTTGCACAGCAGTAAAAAAATAAATAAAATGTATGTGCTTGACATGTACCCATATCAATAAGTGTATCAAGTCAGGTCCAATCCAGTTTTAGAATTTTGGTCAGCAGAAATGATTACACTTTTATCAGTTTAAAATGAAAATAGGAAAATAGCCAGATATTATATACCACTACATTAATACTATATTATACATTATTATTATTACTATATATAATACTATTATATATAATTATTTATAATTATAATTATTTACTACTACAGTCAACTATTTAGCACTGCTTATATTTACTCTGCATGCTTAATTTTATACTTATTTATAGGGGAATGACTTTACAAAAAAAAAAAAATGGATTTGGGAGGGAAAATTATCAACTTTATTACAATATACACACAATTATCATATTACACACACACACATACACACACACACATATATATATATATATTCACATTTATATCCACATTTTACCTACATATAATTCTACAAAAAGATCCATGTAAAAGGAAAATGTTATTACACAAGTTGAACCTATTGCCTCTCTTTGGTACCATAACATCACTTATTTCATTGCATTATGAATTAGCTCATCGCGTTGTGGCAGTGACCTCATATCTTCGGGGCACATTGCCAAAGCCACTGGTCTCAGGAGTCAAGTTGATGCTGTCAGGACCTCCACTGCATGAGAAGGTGAAGTGCTGCAGCAGAGACACTATAAAGATGAACAACTCCATACGGGCCAGGGACTCCCCAACACACGCCCTCTTCCCTGTGACCAGAGGAACACAGCAAGCATAGAAATCAAATAATATAGATCATACAGACCAATCAACTCTATGCATTAAAGTTTACCTGCAGCAAAAGGCATAAAAGCTGGACTTTTCTTAAAGTTCCCGTTTTGATCCAGAAAGTGCTGAGGGTTAAAGGTGAAGGGAGTGGCCCATTGCTTTTCTCCTTTCAGCACAGAGTGTAGCATTGGAAATATGAAAGTGCCCTGTAACAAATACATACTGTATTATACATTCAAAACCCCATGGTTTAAAGCTTATCCAGAACCATTATAATGTATGTAATTTGTGAAAATGAAGTACATGCACCTTTGGGATTGTATAGCCCCTGAAAGTGATGTCTTTGACTGCATAGTGTGGTAGACTGAAGGGCACCATGTCTAGTGAGCGTTGAACCTCGTGAATAACTGCATCACAGAAGGAAAGGGACGTCCTGTCTTCCATGTTGGGACTACGCTCTCGACCAATCACAGTGTCTATTTCCTCCTGCATTCTCTCTGAATATGACAAAAAAATATCAACACATTATTAAGTGTATGGTTTAAAATGGGCGGTCTGCAATAGATGCATACTCTGAATGTCAGGGTATTTGATGAGAGCGCTCAGAGCATATCTGATGGTAGAGCTGGTGGTCTCTGTTCCTGCTGCAAATAGGTTAAGAACTGTAGACCACAGGTTCTCAAAGTGGAACTCAGTGTTTGAGTTGTTTCTCTCCTGAGGGAAAACAAGTGTGTTAATAAACAATGGATTTAGAGGGCTGAATTTATAAAAAGTTCATATTGATATTCAGAAAGATCTATGACCATGTGACATTTGAAAACAGTCAATGTACTTTATGAGACAAATCAATTTGACTTTTACCTTCAATTTTTATTTTTTATATTTTTATATATATTGTAGAATAGTTTTGGTTACAGCAATCAACTATAAGTATGATTCAAGTCTTTTACCTGATTCATGCGGATGAGAAAGCAGTCGATGAAGTCTCGTGGAGAGCTGGGATCCAGTGTCTTCATGTGCTCTTCAATCTTCTTCCTATTGAACTCTCTCACCTCATTAATTTCTGCAAACTTAGTGTGATGTGGGCCAGGAAGGCGATCCATCAGCCAGGGAAAAATGTTGTAGAGCTGAAGAAAGGTGGTAATAAACATGATTTTCTATAATATTGTATGCATGTAAGATTACTTTTAAACTCACCTGTCCAAAAGGGGTGCTGTTAAATTTTATAAACTTGTTTAAGATCTGCAGTTGTCGAAGGAACTGTTTATCTTCACTGTGAAAGCGTTCTCCAAACACTAGGCAGCAGATCACATTGGAGACAGTTTGACTCAAGATAAATGTGGGATCAAAGCACTTCCCTGAAAAAAAAAGTCTATGATAGAAGAGTCACTCACTTCAAACCAGCAATATTAGACACACATTTTGTTGTCAACTTAGCACTTGCAGTTCATTTTGTTTTTTTGTATTTTTTGTATTTTATATTAATTATTATCATCAGTGAATTATATAAATATTTACTTTGGTCAATTGTGATTGGATAAGGGTTAGATTGAGCACTTCCAAAAAGCTAAAGTTAGTGTTAAGCATGTGTTATTAAATGGACTACCTTGAAAGACAGAAATTTGGGGATCTGGGGCAAGAAGCCTCACAACTCAAGCCTTTAATATTAATTAATAGGCAGAGGTTCCAATTCTGGATGCCTAAGACCCTGGGGCCCAGGGCAACAGACCCCTTTGCCCCCCTCTGTCTATGTACCATTGAATGTGTTGATGCGTGCTATCATGTGCTTGCTCTCCTCCTGGATCCACGATTCCATAGCTTTACGTCCCATGCCGAAGTCTCTCAGAGTGGTCAGAGTGAAGCGTCTGAGTTGTTTCCAGCGCTCACCATTACTGATGCCCAAACCTGAATGAGATGATCAGTACAACATATTACTAGTGCTGAACCCAGGATGGTGGAAAAAACTTAGAATAACCTAAACTTACCATAGCCCCGAGTAGCTTTGTGCAGAAAATGTATAGGAGCTCTACCAGAGAAGTCTTCTCCTTGGTCCACTAGAGCCTCCTTCACTGCATCATAGCCCACAAGAACAACAGCTCTCTGCCAGCCCAGGTATATGGTCATCACAGGACCGTATGTTTTACTGAACTGCAGTTAAAAGCAAGGAGCATGTTAAGTAATGCATGCACAATCATTCCTAAAACATTCAAGTGCATTAAACCTTACCTCCATTATGGATTTATATGGTGCATTTTTGTCCATAAATGGCAGGTTTCCAACAATGGGAAGTGCCAAAGGTCCTGGAGGTAAATTACTGTTGCTTTTCACTCTAAATATCCAAAACAGAACTAGTAGAAGCACGCCAAAGAGTGCTGTTGTGTACAGCTCCATGACTTTTCTCTCAGAGTCTTAGTGACTCTGGCTGGGGCTCTTGTATGTTTTTCTTTGACTGAGAGTTGACAGAAGCACAGCTATAGGCCATGAGTCAACCATGTGACTTTTGTGTTCACCTTTGTGCGCTCTCACCTGATTACTGACTTTGATTGACCCGTAAATCTGGTTGCAACAGACTTGACTAAACATGAACTGTCATCCAAACAACACAACATTATGGCTCAGTTACAATCAATCACACTTTTTCACACATTTTTGTGCTTTTTGACTTTTGTTTCTTGCATAACTTCATTTTTTATGTAAATGGGCAGATTTTTTTGGCAGAGCAATGCATATTTGAGTGTTTTAACATTCTTCCATCAGTGTTTCAAGTTTTCAGTTTCTCAAGCCTATTCTAATTCATTCTAGGAAAAATAATGCCTTTGTAGGCCCTTGAGCCCAAAAATGATCAATTGACTTTGATAATCACTATTTTTCAATCTGCCATTGTACAAGTGTAAAGCATGCAATATCCAAGTGTTAGATATTTTCTATATTTTCTATAACCTCTGGCTTTAAATTAGTGTTCTGGCATATTTTTTAGAGGATGATTTCATTTTACCTATATGGTCAACAATGGAAATGCATATAACTGACTTCCATTATAATCACTAGTTTTTAAGCTGCCCTATACAGCATAAATCATGTAATATCTCATTTCTATTTATTTGCTGAACCCTCTGAATCCTCTGTCTTCAAATTAGTGTTCTGACATAATTTTTGAATGATGAAGTAATTTTTTAACCTGATTAATCAGCTGGCTTCACTTCGTAGAAACCATCTGACCTTGCATTGTTAGAATTCGTTCCCTTGACAGTAGGCGGGTACTTTTTATCATGTAACCAATTGCTGCTATTTGGTAGTCACGTATGTAATGTGCCGCTAACGGGACTAACTGGTATATTAATCTTTTCCCAAATCCCGTAGGAAGATGGGCAATAAAGTCTTTCACCTTGATGAAATTCACCAAATATTCTCCTTATTCCAGCTTTAAATCTTCGATCTTGGGAATTGCTGACAACACTGAATATATGGCTCTTCACTGATTGGCTGGTGCCCAAACTTGCACTTCCGGGGTTTTTGCGAACCATCTAGTGTATTTTGATTCCTGACCTAGTTGCTGGAGGGAAATTAAATTGAGTGGAGGCACTAGGTGGCGCCAGCCTGACTAGTAATTTTTACCTTTTATGGTAAATGGTAGAAACACATTTATTTTTGCACTGGTGGGACATTGGTCCTAGCTCCTCCCCTCAGGGCTCCATGACCTCAGGTGTATGTGACTGGGTGAAAGACAGTATCTGATTTTTACTCCAAGAACAGAGGTACAGTATCAGATACATAGGCATACAGAGTGGTACATATGCAGCAGCAACAACAAAGGTATGAAATATATGATGAAATACAAACTGTCCCAAATGTGGTCAAAAAGTCCTCTACAAATCAAAGGAATCATTATTGTCATGATTAAAAGACTCAGAGAATCATATTTTACAATGATTATAAAAAGAACACATCCATCCATCCATTTTCTTCGACTTATCGGGGGCCAGGGGCAGCAGTCTAAGCAGGGCCTCCCAGACTTCCTTCACCCCAGACACCTCCTCCTCCACTGCACTTCCTCCAGTTCCTTTGAGGAAACCCCAAGGCGTTCCTTGGCCAGCTGAAAGATATAGGCCCTCCAACGTGTCCTGGGTCTTCCCCAGGGCAGTGGACGCACGAAAGAACACATGTTGGTGTAAAACTTTGGTTTCATATATGATGTTTACAGCATGATTTTATATGGGTTTCAATCGGAAAAGTAGCCTTTTGTTTACATTGCGCTAAATATCCAAGAAATTACGTAAACAGCAAAATTTACCTCAGAATATTGCTTTAAAGCCAAAGGGTTCAGATGATGTAAAGAAAGATGGACATGCACACGTTTTAGAAAGTCTTATTACATCAGGTTCAAAAACAGTGATTTGAATGGGTTCCAATGGGCACACATAACTCCCACAATGAGTTTGTTTGACTTTGCAGTGCAAAAAAATAACTGATGCTACTAATCTTTCACATACATCAGTGTTTAACAATCAGCACCAAAAAAAAACAGGTTGCCTCGACTGAATTGAAAAGAATCCACTTTTTGTGATATTTGAACTGTGAAATACAATGACTTTATGACAAAATGTTGAGAAATAAAGGGTTAAACATATTTAAAATACAATTTTTTGTGATTTTTAAGAATGAAATTCATTGACTTGAAACAAAATCTGAAATAAAATGTATGTTTTTCAAGGTATTTTTTCTAGCAATAAACCTAATAAACCTAAACCAAACTCCTCACAGACAAAAGAGTTCATCACGTTTGCATTGCAGTATTGGCAGGATATTTATTTTATTAGCCTATATCATTACAGACATTAGGTCTATTTACAATAGCAACAGTTTAAAATGGCAATGCAACAGACCAAACATTTACATTATATCACAACTAGGTTTGTAATTATAATTATCTACTGCACATTAAATTAACATGACATTATTTACAAAATACTGAGGTGATCAATAGCTTTCAAAGGTGCGTTAATTCATTTATGCATGTGGTTTTATTAAATTATAGCATTAAAATAAAGATTTGCAGTTGTTTGTATTTCTACAGATGTTATTATAACCCAGTCTGTGGGTCTAGCAGATGCTCAGACAAATCGCCTTCAACGCCCTGAGATCTGAGTAGATTTGTTACTTTACAAGCAGCTACAAAACAGAGACACACGTGAAGCAAAACAGTGCTGCAGTAACATTAGGGTTTACAAACCTGCATTTGGGGTTGTATGTGCATGTAACAGCTTAGAGCATGATCTTTGACAAATAAAATTAAAAGTAACCAGTGAAATGAAAATATTGATTGATGTTAACTCCAAAAGTCTAAAATCGACACATACAGTTACAGTGGATGCTTCCCACAAGAGACGGGTTTGGGTTTCATTCGTTAAGAGTGTGTGACTATACAGTGTCCCTGGCTGACCTGAGGCTTTTCTGTGGCTTGGAAATAGTGATACAACACAGACAGACAGTGTTCAAAGACTCAGGGTCATGAATGATTTACCTGAGGAGCAAGGGCACTGTGCCAGGAAGAATATGCTGATTCATTTATTTATGAAAAGACGTACACATAATCACATTTCTGAAAGAAAAAAAAGGAATTAAAAAGCAAATGATCCACAGTCAAATGCATCAAAATCAGAGTCCCCCTCAAAGTCGAAGCTGTTGAGGTGTGGGGAGTCCACATCCTGGCTGCAGGCGTGGAAGGCACCCCCTGTGGACAGCTCAGAAAAGCCCCCAGAGCCACTGGTGATCTCAGGAGGCCGACTGGTTGCGAGGGGGGACGTAGGCGCACAGGAGTTGAGGTATCCCAGAGCTGAGGAGGCAGCGGCCCCCCCCATCAGTAGACACACTGCCCGGACCGCACGTGCATCACTGCTGTTGCCATGACGAAGACAATCTGACACCCGGTGTGGAGGGGCTACAGACACGCTCCTCAAAGGTCGCCGCACTCCATTCACTGGATACAAGTAGATTAACAAACAATGCGTTTGAGTGTTATAGATGAGCAATTAATCAAATTCTGATCAAGACTGAAATTCAGTCATTTCTAACTGTCAGTGAAATTTTATTTTGTCAAATTTTATCAGGAGGTCTACAGTCAGTAAAAGTTTGTTGCTTGGTGCAGAGTTCAGACTTGTGATTAATAAACAAAAGGAGAAAAGAAAACTTTTACATATAAGATTTGGAATGGCACAAATAAAGCACTGGATGAAAGCATTACAGTGCATGCCAGTAATTAACCTTTATTGTCACCAGCTATCAGGTGCCAATGGTGCATATTCATACCAACTGTTTCATTACAATGCACTACATAGGAATGTCATTACACAATTTCAGTTATACAGCATAGACTACCTTGATTTGGCTCTTTAAAGGATCCCCCTCTGTCAGCCATGCGACTCAAGGGTGGGGTGTTGTCACATATTTTGGGGGAGCCTGGATCTTTGTCACTGCAGGAGTCCAGCAGGGAGTCTCTGTCTGAGATACATGGTGTGATACTGCGCTGCCTCTGGAGGCTCATGGGAGACATTACACCCTGTGGATCAAAACAGTGCAGAATAACACTGCAGAGTATTATTATGCAGGGTAAAACTAAAGGGCAGAAGTTATTGGCAGATACAGACTAACCTCTCTCACTTTCCGGATCAAATTGAGCCATAAACTGAAAATATAGAAGAGATTAGTCATTCATGTTTGCCTCTTATCTTCTTACACAAACATGCGTAATACTCAGTGGGGCAAGGGAGACATTTATTTTGGTCACTATGTACCAGATAACAACTGGGGTAAAAGACTTACTTGCAGTCATCAGGATTGTCAGCGAGCAGAAGAAGGAACTTGTTTTGAGGCAGGAGAAGGGCAAAGCAGCAGTCCCTCCTGGCCCCCACGGGTAACTTGGGAAGGTCAAGGATGTCTCTGCCCTCAGCGATGGTCTCACAGTTACTCTGCAGAGAAATTACCTGGTCTGGTGGGGACTCTGAGTCACGGCACACCAGCAGACTGCCCTCTGCTGTCAGCACCAGATACTTCTCCTTCCACTGTTTGAACATGAAGCCTCCTGCAAATGAGAAATAAACAACACTGTATTATAATAATTATTATTATTATTATTATTTCACAAATTTGTGTTTTAACTAAATGCAAACAAACTTTAAGAAAAATGCAGTTAGTTGCCTCTTCAATGAAATATAAGGAAATACAATTTTTTCAAGAATTGTGATAAAAGTGTATTGTCCTAAATATATGTGTGTGTGTGTGTGTGTGTGTGCGCGTGCGTGCGTGTGCGTGTGTATATTATTGGGTTTCAGCTCAATATTTATAATAACAGTATATTGAAAACACATGTTAATGGATGGTGAGGATCAGCTCTCTTTCTCTGAGCAGAGGATTACAGCTGAACAAATGCACACTGAGATGGCTGCAGCCTTTCAGCTTTGGAAAATGGAAACATGCATTGTTTATTCACACACACCCACATTAATCATTTATAATACTATCACTACTACTATTCACAATAGTAACTGGTTACCTCAAATACTTACTAAGTAGAATATATCTGGTTTAAATTCTTTTTACTACAATAAAAACAAACACGCAAAGACATTATTCCAGAGCATATTGCAACAACATATACAAGTTATTTTAAAATGCCTCTTCAAACAAATTTGCAGTAAAATATTGAAATAATATCCCTAAAAATTATGTACATAAAAATTAAATTTCATTATATATGTACATAGAAAATATGAAATGAATCTCACCATATTTTCGGAGGAATCCCCGATGCACTCCTGTGTTCATGTCTGCAGTCCACAGTGCAACAAGCTTAGGAATAATGGAACAACGATGGATTCTGAGATAATGCTGAAAAATAGGCTAGAGAGAGAGGAGAGGGAGAGTGAGGCTATAATCCCTACAATTTGGGCCTGTCTATCTAAGCTGGGTCGGTCACTTGTGCGGCTCTACGGCTCTACAGCGTGTATTGATAGAATAAAAATGTACGGAATTTGCACATGTTCCATTAACCCATATTAACTACAGATGAGATGCCTTTTTGTCAGACAGTTTATCGGGGTTTTTTTCTGCTTGCTGTATTCAAAAGTGTGGTATATCAACAAACATTTTAACTCAATTTCACAGCCACACATCCAGAGATTAAGCATTGTTTATCAAGTCAGAAAGTCCTTATATAATAGTGTAGATCAAGTGGAGTCCCATCACAAGTTCAGATCACACCTTATGAATATAAACACCGGACTCTTGTTACTAAAAACATGGTTGGTTTTACTGTGAAAAATAACACATCATTTATATTTGTAAGATTGAAGTTGTTGAAATGCTTTAATTTTTTTCTATTGAACTTTAATGCAGTAAATCTTTATATATTGTGTATATATCTTTGCCCTGAGACGGCTTCCTAAATAAGTGTTGAATTCCGCCCTGCTCAGACAGATTAAAACGGAGGGATTATTATTCTTGTGCATCTGGACACTTGTTGATGTGGAGGGTTGATATGCCAAACAGGGATTTCATTTGTGCACTCCAAATTATCTTTGTCAAAGATATCAACTATGGCAAGTATTCAATGGGGATTAACTATTGTGTCAGAATGCAATCATTGCACTTCAAATAACATTATGTAACAGACTGAGAATAGACCAGGACAGAGGGCATGCATTCAGAAAAAAAGCATTAATCAAAGTGTCTATATTTATAACACAATTGAGCAACAAAAAAGATTTATATGTGAAAAGGTTTGTATGTGATATATTCTGTTCAATCTGATGTTCAATCTGAATGTATCTAATGTATCTAAATGTAACAATTACTTATTAATACCAATTAGTCACTAGTCCATATATGTCCACATACATGTAATTTAAAAAAATGAAATGATTCAATAATTGCTGGTTTGATCACTTTATATTGTCTCTAGCTCACTGCATTAGTAAATTGTCTTTGAAGTCTTTAATTAAAATTATTTCCGAGAGAATGAAAAACAAGCCCATATGTCACTATACAGCTAAGGCAAATAACAATTTTACAATTGGCTACTCTGTTTTTACCCAGAAATAATGCAAAAGAAACTGGTCATGTGATATAGCTTTAGTGGAATTGCATGTGCATCTCTTACCAGGAGATGGCGACATGCACATTCTTGTAAATCTTCAGTAGTCACGTGTCTTCACAAATCATCTGATGTAGCAACAGGTTGAAGACAGTTTTGTTTGTGTTTGGTACAACCAAGGGTAGAAGCCAAATGGATGACGTAATAAACCAGTGCATCACACTTGTCAGAAATTATGTTTATCATATGTTTGAGAGAACGCCCATATTGTTGTTGTTTTAATCTGTCACACATCCCTTACATAACCACTCATTCTTCACTAGCTTTTTTTTTTTTTTTGCATTGAGCCCCTTTAATCCATTTGGTGTAAAACTCATTAATTCTTAAATGGATCATAGTATAAGTCAGCACTTTGGCTTTCACACAGGTTGATTTAAACATTAAGCTGTGTAGCCTGAGCCCATCCCCCTCATCTCAAAAACTCTAGGAAACATCCTCCTCTTTCCAACTCAGTTCAATCCAGAATATAATGCTTTGGAGCAGAGTAGAGAGGAGGACCCCCTTGGTGACGGCCGCCCCTCTTTCTTGTTTCTTTCTATCTGGGAGCAGTGAGAGTGCTATTGCTCAAGCTCCCATTGAAAAGCCAGTGTATACAATGGGGTCTTTCTCAGTCCTTTTCTGTCTCCATTTAAAAACCCTGGGAACACAACACTGTCCACACATCTACTTCTTAAAGGGCCAGAGAGGCTCAGGTCTGCACAGACAACCTGCACCTCCCATTAATTTCATGGGAACAGGAAAAAACAGGAATGCACACAGCAAATCAATTATGTGTGAATGGTACACTACCTTATTGGCTCTGTGCCTGACAAACTCCGCACAGACTAAACATACGTTACCTTATAGGCCACATCAGACAGAGGGAAAACAAACAGCCATCTGTAAAACAACACATTGAGTTATCTTCCAAATTAAAAGAATTTAACTTAATTTAACAGAAAAAATATGTTTTTCTTTGGATAATGAAGGATCCGGTATCTTTAGATATCTTCACTAGCAGCATCGTAACAAGCTCTACATGCCCATGAACACTAAACAGGAAATAAGGTGACAGCCAAGCAGTTTGCCAAGTGACACTGCCAAAAGAGCCATGCTGAGTAGTGACTGGTCCAAGCTCACATTGGCACACTTTCTTAATACATAGATCTAAATAAGGCACCTAGGAGCAAGTTAGAAATCCCTACAAATACGTAGATGTTACCAAGAGATGGGGCTGGAATGACTGCTCAACTAACAATTTGTGATTTTCAGAGATATCTCTTTATTCTAACCTTTATTTGGTTTGATTAGTCAACAAATGAACTGACAAGTCGGCTACTAAAAGGTTGCCGTATGGTTAACATGTTGATCTTCCAGAAAATTAAACATTCTGACTAAAGAGGCGCTCTAAATATGAAAGTTCTAGTCTGTGCGCATAAAACCAAACAAACAATGATTCAGGGACTGTGAATAACAGGCCAATATCTTCCCCAGTCCATTCTGTAATTTTGGGTGAGCCACAACATTATTCTAACAACCACATAAGCCAACTGCTTCTTCATTGTGCAAATCAACTACTGTTATCTTGCTCTTATTGAACTGGTCAAAGAGGCCCGAAACAAAGCACATTCTTGCCTTGTTTCAGATATTTATGTGAATGTAGGTTTTAAAAGGCCACTTGTTTTTATATAGGATAGGCCTATTAGGTTAGGTCTTTTAACATGTTATTAACCTGCCCATATACAGGCTCACTTGTTTTGTCATCATAATTTTAATTTTTAAGTTACTGGATGGAAAAAGATTTCAAAATGGTGCCTTAAGTATCATAAAATCTTAATATGGGTAAAAGCTGATGTTACTTCTAAAATGTGTAAGCTACTGCCCACGCTATTTGGAGACTCGGTTGATTTGTTGTGGCGGGAAACGTGTCCTTTTTCAGCTTTGTATTTACTGCCCAAAGTGGACGTGCGTAATTAAAAAGCGAATGGGGGATTGTATTGAGACAATCAGCATGCCGCGGGGTTACTCACATCCTCAAAGAAAAGCAGCCACGCTCAGCAGGACCAAGAGGAGGAGGCGGAGGGAAAAAGTCGAGTTGAGGAATTTGAATCTTGTTTGAAGGAGGAGAGGGAAAAGAAAGAGCCAGGGGAATGTCTGAGTGAGCCGGTGGGTAGGAGCGAGACTTGGGACGACGCGCGGCAGTAAACACGGGCTTAAAATACGCACAGGCGCTTAACATACAGTTTGAACAGTTTTATCTGACTTTTTGCGCTTTTTTAGCAGTAAAGACACGGCGAGGTTAATAGTGTACGATCTGGGATTAAAACAACTTGAGTGAGACAGCGCAGATTTTTTTTTCTTTTTGAGGGAAGTGAAACGAGAGGATCCTGTTTGATTTGGTCAGTGGATAATCGCATTTTCATCATCAAGCCGGAGTCAAAAGAGAAGTTTTTAAGCTCTTTGAAGTTGCCATGTTTGTGAGATGACCGCGGCTGTATATCTGAACCGTCTTGCCACGAGAAGAATCATGAGCGCATCTGTACGGTGGTTCCTGCTATGTTGCGTAGTCGCGTTGTGTATTGGTCCTGTGAAACCACTGACAGGTAAGAATGCTACTCTACCTGTCACAAAGTTGTTGATACTGTTCATTATTGTTGAATTAAGTGGAAAAAACATCATAACGAGCAATTAGTCCACCTTTTCCTTCAGCTCACAGTTCATTAATTCAATTTGCTTTGAGGTGGAGAGGCAGACCACATCTGTGTGCCTTCAGCATCTGGGAACATGATTTCTAGACTCGTAAAAGAGCCAATAAGCACGGGCAACAAAGAAAACAAACATACACCGTTTATAGGCAGATTTTACATTTTTGTGGTCCTGGTAGAAAAGGTCAGGGTGATGTGAGGCAATGGACAATTACTATAGACTTACTACGCATTCATTGTAGCATGTTCTTCTACATTGTCTGATTTATTTATTGCTGTGTTTATGGTGCACTGTGTCACCTGCCCGTCTTCATGTTATTATTGTGGGGTTTAATAATAAGTACATGTGACATTCGATTATCTTGCACTTATTCTATTAAGCTACACTTTTATATTCTTAAAAATACTTCTGTGAGTGGAGCAGCCTCTCCATAGATCTGACATGTTAATTTGGCATGTTCATGTCACCTGTAATGGAGAAAGATGTAATGCCATACTGTGAAACATGCCAGGTAAAGCAATAACATCTCCAGGAAGACAAGCAGGTGACACATCCTCCACCTGGCATATAGTTTTTTCACACTGCAAAATAAAAGAAAAAGTGAATGATAAGCTGCTGGCAAGTGCGTGTAAATATTAAAATCTTAAAATTGTTAGAAGACATGCTTAAAATGTCTATAGTCACAAATGCCTTTCCTATGATTTCAGGCATAGAGTGTCTGTCATGTTCAGTCCTAAAATGAGCACCAATAAAAATCTGTTAGCTCATGTGTTTTGGTCATTACAGACCAGCTGTGTTGCCTGGGCCCCATAACTTCAACCTTTCGTGGACGTATGACCAGGACAGGCACATCCCTATGATTTACAAGCTCAGAGTGAACGCTTTACAGTTGATTTTTCTTCTTGGAGGACTTTTGGGGGTTTTGCATTAGTTTGGGGGCCCAGGAGAGTGAGGAGGGGATGTTGAGGGGATGCAGTTTTAGTCAGAGCGGGCTGACTCAAACTAACAGGCACATGATGAATGGGGCAAGAGGGCAAAAGTGTAGGGGCGAAAAAGTTTGGGAGGGGAGGTGGCTAAATGTGTAGTGTTCATTTGAAGAAAGGCATGAAAAGGAGACTAGATGAGAAAGGGCAAAGGCGCCGTACTGCATGGGAGGCTGAATTATGTGGTGTTAAAAAGCCATTGGGAATAGGACAAATACATGGACTGTGTTGGGTATTTGGGGAATGTGCCAGTCCACTGACATTTAGCATGGGGGCAAAGACTGGAAGACTATGGCACCACAGAAGGGAAGAAAATCTGTTGGTCATTGAGGGAGCTGTTGAGGACAAAAGAGGAGGAGACAAGGCCTGGATACCTCACTATGGTTAGTGTCTATCTTGGCAAACATAAAAACATACAGGTCAGGCATGCCTCTCCACCTCAGCAGGCTTTGTCCTGCTCTACAAGCTCTATTATGATATGAAAGCAACATCAAGAGAGCGCAAAGACGAAACTAGGTCCGCCTTTGTCAAATGTGGTACTGAAAACAACACAGACACGGCCATGCTCCTCTGAAAGCACCCAGTCAAGTGTAAAAATAAGGGACGGCAATGACTTTTAATGCTCAAAAAGGGCAGTGAGATGTGGGGGGAAATGCATTAGTGGTTTGTTTAACTAATGAAATAACTTGGACCAATATGTAGGTTCACTCCATAAATCTAGTCCCTTAAATGTGATTTGTGTGTGTTTGTGTCTGCTTGGGTCACTTGAGTTACCGTGGAGTCCCCCCGTAGGGTCACAATGATGGGGCCAAAGTTCAAAGGTTGGCAGTGAAGCAGACCAGGAAGGTGGGCCGACAAGCTTGAGAAAATCTTTGCAGACATGGCACTATAAATCAGACATGGGATATTCTTGCCTCAGGAGTCAATAACAAAAAAAAAAAAACATGGCTCTTCTAGTTTTCAGATAGGCACTTTATTGTGACACTTCTGTTATGTCAGTTAGGGCTGCAAGATATATTACAATTTAATCCAAACCTCAAATTGTCTGGCCACAGTTAGCAAAGTGCAAAGGGTGCAGTTCTTTGGGTATAATTATTTCATTTACAAACAACAAAACATTCCTCTTCAAATTGGTTTTATCAGTTACTCAGTTTTCTCTCAAATTTTAAAGGTGCTTTATTACATAAAATTGATTTTTGCGGGCTTTAAGCCATGTTATAATGCCCTTACCTCATCAAAAACATACCTAGAATTGTGTGGGTTTTTTTTCATTCACACATTATTATTAGTCTGTCTACATCTCTAAAGCTCAAAATTCTCTGTTCCACCACCAGATTGGCAATTACAGCTGCTTACATTACCCAAATAATTGTAGTGAAGGTGTATGGAGTTTTAAAACATAGTGTAGCACTTCCTGTATTACCACATGACATCACAAGGAGTATTTTCTGTTTGAGAGAAGAACTCTGTCTAAATATGCAGGGTTTGTGTGCTAAACATGTGTGAATGAAACAGAACACAATTGTTTGTGATGACAACATTCTAACAGAGTTCAGAAAATAGCATTATTTAAGCCCTTTAATGGCCTTAGACATGCTTTCTTAAAATACAATTGCATGTTTGGGCATGAATGAAAAAAACACTTGATAAAGTCATGTTCTTCAAATCTTTTACCCACTCAGCTACATTTTTCTAACTTAAGCAGATTTACAGATGTTTTTGTGGTTCAGCCTTAACCATGTTGAGTTGTGCACTGAGCTGAGTCCAGTTAACAAGAAGCCTTTGTCCCCAATCAGCCCATCCCTCAGGTCGACTCCTCTATCAGCAGAGACACCAGATAACTCCACTCTGTTTGGGACTGGAATGATAATGCTGCTTCTACGTGGAGCAATTTAGTTAATAGGCAAATAAAACTCGCTCACTGAGTCACCAAGAATATCTATAGTAAACTGTAAATCAATATATAGTTTATTTTTGACTATGCTGTTCTTTTTCATCCAAGATAGACTAGGCGGTGGTAAAAGGTAGAACTAATAGAAACTAACTAGAGATTGATTTTTAGTGGTTGGGGTGTGCAGTATTATGTAGCAACTAGCAAGTGCACCTTTTTTTCCCTTTTTTTTTTAAATTAGTTTTTTGGAAAAATACATTTGTAGAAGTACTATGATTAAAACTAACCTAAAAAAACAACAACAATGTGTGTAATCTGTCATGGTTTATTCTGACAGATTTTGAGTTTGAGCGCAGTCCTGCCACAGTCATCTCATCTCTGGGGAAGCCTGTGATGATGCAGTGCACTTTGAAGGGGACAGGAGGAGAGGAGGAGGAGCCCCCTGATGTGCTCTGGCTCCATGAAGGAGAGCCCCTCCAGATTGCAGACACAACCCAGTCCCAGGTGCACACGGGCAGCCACACCTGGACCATCATGAGCACCTTAAGGTGAGAACACTCAGCTATGACCCCACATATCTGTATCTACAAGTGACAAGCCTGGAGGAATCTGCTATGCATTTCCTATATGTTTGGTGTCTCTGTATGTAGGTGTAGTTAAAAGTAAAAACTTTTTGGTGTAAGGATTTATTTTTCTTGTAATGGGAATATTTCAATATAAAGTAATTAATAAATAATATATGGTGGTACAGAATGCTTGGACATACACCAAAAGGGAGTTCTGACTATGAAATTAAATGTGCTATGTATACTTAAAAATAAAGTAGTTGTATTATGTAATATGTGAAGTTGAGAGTGATTGCTGGTTCTTTGTAACATTCCTTGTCTCTGCTGTATACTAAACAGGATTGAGAAGGTCCAGCTGACTGATATGGGCTCATACCAGTGTGCTGTCTTCATTGAAACGGAACAGGCCTTTTCCAACGAGGGAAGCATTCAACTGGAGGGTGAGATTAACTTATGCCTGAACTAACAAACATCACTGGATATTCAAATATGAAACATACCCTTTTATGTATATATTTACAGGACTACCTCATTTCTCGGTGGAGCCCCAGCCCATGTCCATAGTGGCCAATGTGCCATTGATACTTCTCTGTGTCGCCCACGGGCCCCCTGAACCCGTCCATGTCATCTGGCTGCAGGATGGGGTGCCCCTCAATGCTTTAACTGACCCTGTAGCTCTGTCCCCCTCCACACTCAATATTACAGGTACCTCATTTTTTGGTTTATATCAGTACTTATGTGTTGCACTGTAAATAATGTGTAGTAGTAATAGAGGGTCTGAGGTAGGTGACTGGGTGCTGTTGTGTGTTTTGTCTTTGTGGATGGGTAAATACAGGTGACAGAATAGAAAAGACAACTATACACATAATACTAAACACTGACAAGCTCTGAAAGGAGAAGTAAAGGATTTGCTTCAAAGCAAACCACAGTACTGTGCCAGCTCACAGGCTGCTGTGAAGTCCAGTGGTAGACCCACATAGATGAGTCATAGAGGAAGGAGTGAGCAAGAGGCAGAGGCAGCGAGTTGGGCTAAAGGTTTGACTCATGAGAGTAGATTGGCACTGACCAGGCCCCTTTGACGGTAATCTGTGCTCATGACCCAGGAATGGACAGCTGCTCTGGCACACCACAAAATAAGACAAAACTTCAAAACAAAATTTTAAAACATTTACAATCAATAAAATAGAGAGATTGTACAAAACATGTACCAGCTGTGAGATATCCTACTGTGTTTGTGCTGGCACTCACTCAGTAAACCAACAGAGGTAACATAAAGCAGATGCAAATTGACTGTACTTTTCCATACACTCTCAGCATATATTTTATATGTGTGTTGTTTATACCTACATGTATTATAACCAAATAGTATTGCAGTTTACTTGTTCAACAATTTCAGTTTTTGTGAATCCATGCTCAAGGAAAACACCAGGAAAACATTTTTAGGGAGGATGTGATTTGAGCTGTCAGTCACACCCAAATTAGCATCCTAACACTATCTCACTTTGGGAACCCCTTGTCAGTTGTAGCAACAGCACAAGTAGGCACAGACATTTTTAGACTTTGCACTGTCAACTCTCTGCTTTTACTAAAGGAAAGTTGATTCAAGAACTTAACCTTTCCTGCAGACTCAACTCATAACATCCAGGTGTGAGTGAATATGGTGCTACTTCCTTCTCATGAGCCATCAGGAAGAAAGTAGGGATGGGTGATATGCCAGAAAAATCATCACAATACCACGATAGCCATACAGTTATTAACTTTAACTTACTTAAAGGTGCACTGTGTAAGTTTTTGGTTGGGAGTCCGTCAACTTTTTGTTTCTATGGATATGTCATTGTTCTGCCTTGAATGTTCCACAGTATGACATTAAACAGAAAAACAGACATTCTGACTGTGAATGGGGTTACTTCTCCACAGATCTGACTTGTAAGTTCTTCATGATAGGATGGTTTAATACCATATTGTTAAACATTCCAGACAAAGCAATAACATCACTATGGAGAAAAGCATTTGACTGACACTCCACCAGAAAAGTTACACAATGCACCATGACAGAAGCTGATCAATAGAGTCTTGTAAGTTTGAGCAAGTTACATTAAACAGAAAAGCACCAAATCACACAATTGTATTTTGTCTAAAGGATCAGAATGCCATTAATTTTTATCACCATATTGTCCAACCGTAGTAGTGAGTGATGTAATCTTGGCTCAAGATTTACATAAGTCACTGGTCACTTCCGTCCTTTTTCCTCTCCCATAACTCCATTCTTCACAGTGCTGGGCCGTCTGTCCCGAGCACAATGGTGGCATGGTGCAGGCAGCCGCACACAGTAGATTTGTGCCTAAGCCTGTGCTGGTGCAGGGGCAGAGTGGGGGTCACGTGTTTGTGAGGAGCGGGCAGTGGAGGAATGTGTTAGGACTGAGAGCTGTTAGTCAGTTAGGTCCACGCTGTCATGTGTGTCCATGTGTGGAGCTCTTTACAGTAAGCTGAGTTTAAGACAGGGACACATAGGCCTGTCATGATAATTACTTTATTGACATATAATTATATTTTTAGGCTATATGATGAGATTTATTCAGTAGAAGATTGAGTTAATAACAGCTCATGATTTTTTTACAATATTGTAGGTTTAGAATAGTTTTTGTGGTATACATCTGTTCTTGGTTTTATTTTGTCAGTGTGCTTTTTTGTCATGTTAATGTTTATGTCACACTAACTTTACTTTATGCCTTTACTAATAATTTTGTAATAGGTGCATCTGCTTCTTAGAATCGATGTTTCTATGTATGTTTGTATGTATGCATGTTTGTTTGTATTTATGTATGTATGTATGTATGTGTGTGTGTATGTATGTAATTGTTTGGTAAGCTACAAAAACTTGTTACTATGAGTATTTATGAGATATGAATAAATGAAAACCACAATTAAAAACATTATTGAATGACATTTTAAAGATTTTAATGTTAATGTTGTCTCATGTCCACCCAGGTCTTAACCGAACCAGCTCCTTCTCCTGTGAGGCCCATAACCGTAAGGGTGTGGCCACCTCTGGCTCAGGTGTCATTACAGGTTGGTGTCTTGACTATGTTTACACTTTGTTTGTTGTTGTAATTATTGTCTTTATAAGTGTCTTTTCCTGTTTCTATCAGTGCTGCCATCTCAACCCAGTGACCTCAGAGCAGTGGAGATCACTCAGGACAGCCTTCATGTTACCTGGCAACCGGGGTTTGGAGGCGACTATCCCATAATCCACTGCTCTGTTCAGGTGAGACAATGTAACACAGGTAAACGGGAAAGGTCAATACAAAGGGCAAAGCACTATTTTACCTGATACAAAAAGGGTATTTGGGTAGTTTCTTTTAAAAGAATAAGACAAAGCTTTTCTTTTCTCCAAACTCTTCCTAAGCCCCTCCCTTATTTATCCATGTACCTCTGGATCATGTTTCAGTTTGGGAAAGTGGCCTCCTGGACCAGCCCAGAACCACTCCCTCTCTCCATGTCTTTGCCGCTAACTCAGTTCTCATTTTTTTCTCCTGGAAGAGCAACAACTAGAGCACCACCCTTAAAAATCTGTTTCTAATAAAGCTGCCCCTCATACTTCCATGGCCCCCACCCCTCTCTCGCTCTTGGCTCAACCCTCCATAGCACTGCACCCTCACAGGGGAACAAGGAGAGGGGCTGGCCTCAAAATGGGGCAAACGTGAATGTTAATGGCTCTTTGTGTAGACAAAAGAAATTTGGAAAAACTTAAACAAAGCCAAATGATCCCTCTGTGAAAGAGACTGACTATCAAATCATTCTGTTCTTTTAATAATTTGAGGTTAAAACAGTGGTTATAGGCTATCTATATAAAGTATTCTATATTTACTTGTTCCCTTCCCTTCTGAACTCATTACAGTAATATCTTCCTCCAAGTCCACTATAGTTTGCATATTGATTTAATACAGTCAGGCAGATATTTCATTTCCATTTGTATTTAAACTTGGGCATGGCACAAAGAGCACTTTATGGTTTGAGTTGATTTACACAAAACTATTATTTTTAACACAAAATATTTAACCCAGTAAAGTAACATTTAGTAGGTCTAGTGCTTTGCAAAAAAGCAATCACTTGTCAGTAATCTTTAACCATTGTTTAATAATAGCATGAGTAATTTTCAAGTATTACAAGAATGTCAGAGCCTTAGGATGAGACAGTTTTACAACACACTTGACAAGTGAAAGGAAAAGGGTATTAAGAAAGAATGTTAAACTTGAAACAAAACGACAAATGGATATTGTTTTTCTTTGAGTAATACTTAGGGAATGCAGGTTGGACAGTGACTAAGAGATGACTGTTAGAATTGAATTAGATGCACTGCTTATTGTTTACGTTTGGATTCTGACTCATTGCTGTAGGAATGGGTCCACGCTCATTCAGAGAGCCTCATATGGACCTGTCTGACTGCTCCTGCCATAGTTGTTTTAAACTCCATTGTTAAAGCAGGTTATACCAGCAACATGCATGCACACACACAACAACACACAGTAACCTTGCTTCAGCAACAGGTTACTGTTGCTGAAGCAAGGTTACTGTAAAGAATACCACTCTCTCAGGAGCTATTTGTTAACTAGGAACCACGGAAAAAAGGCCAAAACTGCAGCTTTAATGTGGTTTATGAATTGTGTAATGAAGCATTTTTCTGCCCCATGTTCCTGTTTAAAAGTGTTTACAACAGAAGCCTAGTGCCGAGGCAGCAGTTTCTCACCGCTAATCTTTGGCTGATGAGTGTTGTTTTGAGTGCACCTTGCTGAGTTTTGGCTCAGGTTGAAAGCAGAAATTACGCATTATCTCCATTTTGACTGTAAATTACTTTTAGACAATTTAAATCACTACAGGGGCTTAATGTACAGCACCACAGGGCGTTTAAATAAAATGGTAAAGATATGGCAGCCAGCCCCTAGCCCTGTCAAGAATATTCATCAGTATGGCATTGTATGTATCTATCTCCATGCAGACCAAGTTTTGTGGAGAGGTGACCCTGTTCACAGTTAGAATGCATGTCATTAGATAAGTTTAATGACAAAGCATAATAATATCTCCATGGAGACAAGCAGGTGGCAGACCACTCACCAGAATTTTTTTTTTTTTTTTTTTTTTTTTTTCAATTCAATAGATTTTTAAAAAATATATATGTTAATGTTGGGGCTTGTAATTTTTTTTTCTTTTTTATTAAGTATACCTGAAAAGTTAATATGCTTAAAATGTTTATGCTTAATATGTTTACAGATGTTCTTTTCACCATTACAGGCTAAACATGTGACAGAGACCTTCACAGCTGGGCCTGATCGAATGATCCACAACCAGAACGTGAACATTCCTCCACCTACTCACCTGATTGGGGACTTGGAGCCCCACAGCTTGTATGCTGTCCGAGTGTCCTGCCACAGCAGCCAGGGGGCATCAGAGTGGTCACCCTGGGTGGAAATGCGCACCAAAGAAGGAGGTAAGACCCCAGGCTGCATAGGAATTATAAGAGTATGTCACAGGACAAGCTACTGCGCATGTCTCCTGCAGATAGAGCCTCTGTCCTGTATGGTATCATGTCAGTGTCTTGTAGGATTTCAGCAGATTTCAGACTCTTTCAGGAGCAGAGCTAGGTGTATCAATCAAGTATGAGTCGATGTCTGGCTTCTCAAGTTTGAGACACTTATTCTCATCATTTACGCACTCTCCTGTATTTAACTCATATGGGTCATTAAGATGCATCCCACTCACTAATGTTAATTTAGCATCATAACTTATTTTATTTATTAATAAACAAATAATCTTGTCTGTAAATGAGAAGTCTTTCTCATCTGGGTCCTTTGAAATAGTTGCAGTAGTTGAACTGAGATACAGCTTGTGAGTGTGACAGAGGTGTCACATGTGTCACTTATCTGCTGCTCACCAGTCAAGTGCAGTCTGAAAATATAACTAGAGTGTGTTCTTATCTAATGCAGAAGATGTGAGAATGTAGGTCAGTTTTATTTTATTCATTTCTTGGTGACAACATAGTTATTACAATGTTTCTAGTGGTCAGTGTTTGTAGTGGTCAGTGTTCGTAGTGGTCAGCGTTTATAGTGGTCAGTGTTTTGATGCTTAGTGCTTGCATGAAGCTGAGTGATGAATTAAGAAAGAATTCATTTCATTCATTGTTTTTTTTGTTTTGTTTGTTCTTTCCTATCTTGGACAAGTATGAAAAATAATAATGCTTGAAGTAAACAAATCATCACATTTGTTTTCCATATAGAATATTATTTTGATACACCATAGGAAGAAAGCACAAAAAAAGGACCAAAACATTGTAAATGAATGCTTTAGGTACATCTTGTAATTTTGTGTCTGAATGGACAGAAAATGCACTTGTGTACTAAAATAACTAGTTTGAGTCAAAGTCTGAGCACTTTATTGTTACTATTGTGAATCAGTGCCTTGGCAATTGTTTGCATGCTGCATTTGAATTAATGTTTGCAAGTCACTTAAGATGATAGATAAGAAAGATATGAAACTAAACTGTTACCATATTTATAGGCCTGTCATGATAACATATTTTGAAGCATGATATATTGCTACAGAAAAAATATTGAAACTACTTCTCTAACACAAACAACATAACAAAAATATAGCAAGATAATCCCAGTAAACCATTTTTAAATAGAGAGTGTCATTAAAAGGCCTGAGCTGCAACCAATAAATACCAGAATGAACCAATATTTAGCCATAGGAGTTGTGTATTCTACCCTCTACAGCTCAAATCTTATCATATTACAACTAAAATAACAAAAATCTCCTGTACCCACGATAAATATATTGTTCCAGTTTTCATATATTGAACGATAAGCTGATATAGTAATTATCGTGACAGGCCTACATACTTACTCAAACTCATCCTTTTCTGCATTTGCTCCTTGAATTTAGTGTGCATACCACACACGAACAGACAGAGACATATTCAGCTTACTCTTAAAATTGCTTCCTGGTCTGTGTGGATGACAAATACCAGGCTGAAGTAAGTCTCTCTACTTCAAATGTAAACCTAAATGTGAAACAGTACAGTATTAAGAGCAGTGTGTGTGGATGGAGAGCAGGACGCAGATCCAAATGGCTGCTTAACGTCTTAGTTTATACAGAGGTGGGATTTTCCATGCCAGCTCATGCTCCTCTCTCAGCCCGTGAACAGGAATGGAAACAGTGTATGAGGGAAGATATTTTGCTGGATTCACAAGGGGCAGTTCATAGGGAGTTATGATTTGCAAAAGAGCACTTCCCATGAACAGAAAAACAGAAGTATATACTTACAAAAATGAGACTTGAGATATAAGGTCAGTTTCATTTCAGTATAATAAAGTATACTGGGACACACTGTACAACTTCCGATAATGTTTTCTGTATTAATTTGACACCTATTTAATCAAAGTATTTATGATTAGATTCAGCCAATGGTCAGATGGAGTTCAAGAGGCTTTTGGGAGAGATGTGAAAAGGGGAGAGGCAAATACTGGAAGATCTTTGAGTCTGAGATGACATCTTTAACTAAACATTCACAACATTCCTCCAGTCTTTTGTTGAAATGGCCAAGACCATATGTTTCTTATTAATATCTTTACTATCTATAACACTGTATTATCTCTTACATGTGTCATCCTGGCACAGCCTTCCCCATCCCCTGCTCCTCCTAAATTCCTTCTACTACTATTTCACTTCATAAATGCATTTTTGTCAGCTCTAGTCCCATAAATTCAAAACTGTTGAAATAATTTTTTCTCTTCATAAACAAGTAAGTTTGTTTCCCACTTTTACAAACAAGCACAACAGCAGTTATTTTGTGTATCCACTTGCTCTGCTCTATTACTTCATCTTTTCATTTCTTGACCTTGTGTGACCTGTAATGTCTGTTTCCAGAGCGCCTACTGGTCGCTGTGGGAAAAAAGTGGGCTGTTGGTGGGAGCAGGGGAGAAGGAGATGGTGGGACGGTCGCTGGGGGAAGGGTCTGCTTTGTCCAAATACTTGTGCAGCTATTTTCCCAAAGCCCGTCCTGATCCCTGAAGGAGGGAGAGAGAGAGAGACAGACAGAGGGAGAGAGAGAGAGACAGATAGGGAGGGAGAGAGGGAGGTACACAGTCTGCTGGGGGGAGAGGAAGCAAGGTGACCCGCTTGGCCCAACTAATCTGAGAGCCTAGACTTTATCTGCCCTAGACATGTTTAGCAAACTCTTTTGGGGTTTTAAAATAACTACCTCTAGAATATTAGATATTAGATGTGGAAAAAAAAAAACACCAAGCTTCAGATTTTCCACCTTTGCCCAGTGGTAGAACAGTGAAAAATGTGTAGTAGTTTCTAAAAAGGATTACACAGAACTATATTTAAAGGTGCAGTACTATGTAACTTTTCTGGTGGCAGGTAGAACACCTGCATATCTCCATGGAAATGCCTTTAACTGAATAAAGAGAAGATGGTTGAGTTAATTGCCATGCTGTGTAGACCATTCAGTCCACAGCATGGCAACTCAGGTCTATTTACTTCACCGATATATCGCACTTCAAAATTTGTTATCGTGACAGACCTAATCCACTGTAACCCAGAGAGTTTGGTTTGGTTTGGACTCGCATTAGAGTAATGTTTCATGAATCATCCACACATGTGTTACATTATATCAGTCCATGCCCTGAACTAGTTACAATCTCACCATCATTAGCGGCTGTGGTGGCTGTGACTCACTCGTCTTATTCCTGTTTAATGCTTTTATCAGCTAAAATCTAGCCATAGTCACCAAATATCTCAGACAATACACAATTTTACAGTGAATAGACAGTCTATAGTGACACATTGTTATCACTGACACTGATGATGTCCTGATCTGGAAAAATCTTTGAGGAAAAGGGCCTGTTTTCATTTATGGAGAAAGTCATAGTTCTGACTCATAGACGTTCCCATTTGGCTGTATGACCCTTTTCCTTATAAATGTTGACTCATATGTACTGTATTCAAATAATTTTAACCGAAAACAGCTCCTACAGTGTTATTTGAGAAATAGGCATATAATAGCATATGTAACGGTAGCCTTTGGAGGATGCAGATGTTAACTCCTAATAGTTAAACTAATTGTCACCAGAAGTTGTTTTCTTTGGAGCTTTGGACCAGCCTCTTTAATGTGCAGACAAAGAACCCCTACAGTTCAGTCCACTAGCCATTGCAAAATTCCACTCGTGTTTAAGAAATGTCTGTTTTAGTGTGCTGGGTACAAGTTAGATACTGTACAGTGTTTGGTTTTGGAAATGGCAATAAGTTTATGATTTTGGGAGCTCTGATGATTAAAAAAAAACAAACCTGTAAAGTTGTCTTAAAATTTCCATTAAGTCTACTTTTAAGTTCTACTCAAGTCATATTTCTGTAGTATCCATAGCCTAACAATGACCTATACACTAATTTGAATACAATCTTGTTCCTAGCTCTGTTGACCTTGCAGTGGTTGTCAAGAGAGACTAACAGATAAGATAACTTTTAATGAGGTCGATTTGAAGTAGATGGTGGAAAATGACAGCAACAAATAAAGAACAAAAAGCACAGAAGGGATTGAGAGTTAGAGGAGAGGGAGCATTGGGTGACGGAGTGAAGGTGGAGACTTGATTTTGAGGTTGTTTTTGTTGCTGCCGACTGAACAGGGACCACATGTGGAAACAATCAGCTCTGAAACGCTTCCTGATAACATCATCCATATAGGCTGGGTCGTATTTCTCCAACTCACACTGTATTCACACAATGCAAAATGCTAGTTTAAGACTTTTTCACCTCCCAAGAAAAAAAAAAGTTGACAACCAGACAAAGGGGCCCCAAATCAGGCTCTAGCAGAAGGCTCAGAAAGTGGAATGTAGAATGCAATAGTAATCCCACACAAACACAGATTCCTCAGACTATTTCGAGTGAAGATTTATCTCCTCTGAGTATATGTGCTGCCAACAACATATTTTACTAAATTTACTAAAACAGAATTGACAGTGACATAGAGGAGTCACCATGTCTGTGAAAAGGGGGGCACAGATTCTGACTTATTTGTCTAATGAAACCAATCAGTGGTGGGCCGGAGTTGAGCCTTCAGCTGTCGTCACGACTCGAAGGATCAGGCTGTCAAAACAACGCACGTCTGGCTAACCTACAGCCCACTGGCCTCTGGAAGTGTCCTCCACTGCTATATTTAGACTCTCTTGTATGCTTTTATCATGAAAAAGATTGTCCTTAAAGGTGCATTACACAACTTTTCTGGTGGAGGGTCTGTCATCTGCTTGTTTCCATGAAGATGTGATTGCTTTGTCTGGATTGTTCCATGGTATGACATTAAACACATCAAACTAGCATTTATCCATTATGGGTGTTTTTCTATTGCTCAAAAATACAATAATTCTTTCTGTGAATAGAGTTGCCTCTCCACAGATCTGACCTATAATGTAGCCTATAGTTGTCTACTTAGAGATAAATAGGTTTACTCTATACTGTAGAACATTCTAGAAGACAAGCAGGTGACGGACCCTGCTCCAGAAAATTTGTGCAATGCACCTTTGAAATCAACAAGTGCTTCAGTCAAACATTTCCTTATTTTAGTCATATTGAGGTGATTCTACGTATGTCCGACTATTATACATTTGTATGTTTTCTGATTACTGATTAAATGTTTTGGGTTTTTTTATTGTTTGTTTTGTTTGTTTTAGTGCCAGACAATCCACCAGTGAACGTGAGTGCTGTGCTGAATGGGACAGAAGTGCTCATGACATGGCAGGAGCCTCCAGGGAAACACAATGGAGAGCTGCAGGGTTACATGGTGGAGTACAGCACACCTGCCCAGCAGCAGGTCAGTTTTGGCCATCAAACTCTGATGGTAACTTCAGTTGTTTTCCAGTGTGTAATAACAGGGTTCTAAATCATCTTCTTACAAGCATGTAGGTGGTCATGTTTGTAAATGAAATTAAGTTAATAGTTTATAATATTAATCACGGCTCTGACAATCAATAAAAAATAATTGTGACTTGTCGAATATTAAAATATCATTATTGTATTTGAATGATTGCTATCTAATAAATCACATAATCACTGATCAGTTAACTATTAAAATAATTTAGTTGCATCCCTAATTTTCATGTTCATAAAGTATTTTTATTCTCATGTAAGTTATGTATTCTTTGCCACTAACAATATTGTCTGTGTTTTTGCAGCTCACTGTGGACACTGGCTTGGACACGGAGCTGTCCATCAACCTCTCTGCTCCACTGTCCAATGTCTCTTTTCGGGTATGTGCTTATACAGGGGCTGGCCCAGGACCATGGACGCCCACTCAGACTCTTATGCTTATAACTCCTGGTCAGTAATAGCATTTCATACATATTGCACATTTTTACATGTGCAAATGGTAATATTATTTATTCCTTTTTCACTTCAACAGAAATGGAAGGAATAAAAGGTGAGTCAGTGCCTGTGAAATACAATCTGACCTCTATCTTCTTCTTTGACCTCTTAAGAAAAACTTTTTGACACCAATGGGAAGTGAGATAAGTGTTTTTCACCACACAACTTCCCTTTCTTACTTTCTGTGCTCTGTTCCTCTGTGAGCCTGTTCCTTCCTGAATATCAGATAAATGGGAAGGAAGGGAGAGAAAAGAGAAGATGCTCAAAGGGAGGGGGGGTTATCTGGAGACTGGCGGGTTGAATGAGGCGACGTGTCATAAATATTTATAGCAGGCCAGAACAGTGCAACATCTTTGTTTGCTTAGTCTAATACAGGCGGACTGACAATGAAACAACAACAGTCATAGATAAAAACATAGAGGGAGACAGGGAGAGTTGGGGAGGAGGGTGTGAAAGTTACAGACACAGTGGGTGGAGGTTGTGGGAGACTGGAAATATATTTAATGTGGCCAATGGGACAACTCACTGTGCACTTATTTACAGCAGTGTGCAAGGACACCTATTTTTAGAGAGTAAAGTTTGGTTTTAGTCTGACTGAAAGCAAGTAAGCCTCACCACACAAACACATACAGTCATAACAATGCTATAAATCGTACTTTTGTAATTTAAAGTTCATCCAGTTGTGACAATGAGTAGTAACTAAATAAGGCATTTTTGATGATAGTGACACATTTCAAAAAGTAGAGACATGACTGCAAAAAGCTTGAAAATTTGAAAAGGGGAGAGTTTTTATTTAATTATGCTAACAGAGCTAGTTGACATAAACTTATACAGGCCACTGTGGATAGACTTTTTTTAGATGAGTGGTTCACTCTAAAACTTTTGTCCTGTTGATAGAATTACATTTTTCTTTTGCTATGGATAGTACCTGGACAACGAAGAGATCATGTTCAAAAAATGGCCCAAAGAGGATAATGGGACAGTGTTAAGAGACCAAAATTAAAATATACCAGCAATTGACTATTTGGTTGGTGTTAATGTTAAGCTTCCTTCACTCCACCTCTGCCTTTGGCTGAATAATGGCACTTCTTGTACAAAAATACACTGTTCTAGCATTACACTATTTCCTGTTTTCTGGTTACCAAACCTTCACCACTCCACTCTCAGGTGGATCTTCGCCCCCGGCCTTTTCCTGGCACTGGTGGTACGTGGTGATGGCCATCGCTGGAGCTGTGTCCATAGCTGTGCTCATGGCTGTTTATGTGGCCAAGCTGCGGCGAAAGGAGACGCGCTTTGGGTATGTACCATGGTCCTACTCTTAGTAGCTAACGCTATGCCAAACCCAAAATCTGCAGTTTTAACATTCCTCTAAGCTAGTCCTTCGATTCTGCATGCATTCTGAGGTACATGGATACCATAGGAAACATCTGTTCAGTGAGACCAACACTAATTTTGTGAATTATGGACTTCTCAGCTGTGTTTACGCAGCTTTGACCAAAATTATTCAAACTGTGTACAAATGTTAAATTCAAGTCAGTATTTCGTAGTGCCAAATAATTTTTTGGTAGATAAATATACTATTGGGAAATTTAAGTTTATCTAAAATCAATCATTGTCAAGGACTTTAATTTTTATCAAAGCTGTCAAACCACACAAATGTTTTAGCAAGTTTCGCCAACTTGCATCGATGTCAACATTCTATTTTGTCAGTATTCTGATTTTCATTTTTTCACTATTTGAGAATTTCAGGAATATTTGTGTGTGTTTTTTACTTTTGTGCAGGCCAGGTGTATACATTTAACTTAATTCAATTTCTGCCTACTATTATTGTTTTTGTGCTGAATTGTATTGTGCATGATTTTCCAGAGAGGCATTTGAGCCAATGATGGAGAGTGGAGAGCTGGTGGTCCGGTACCGAGCTCGTCGCACCTACAGCCGGAGAACCACAGAAGCTACATGTACGTCTAGACCACAGATGTGAACAAAACAAACCCAAACCCCACGGATATGTCATTAAGAGGATTCACATGTGCAGGCCTACACACGTTTCAGTAATCCGGTTCAACACTCCAGTACAAAAATGTCACATCAAAGCATGTTCAGTCTTGTTTTAGGTATGATTCCTGTGAAAGGGTAACTGCAGCTGCTGTCATGCAAGGTGACAGACTGAGCCAGCTATCAAGTTTAACTAGCATTTCAAGATCAGTCTATACACTTCCAAAAAAAGACAAGGATAACAGTCATACCACACAACAAAAGTTTATAAAAATGAAATTCACGACTCCATTATGCTATTACAGACCTACAATCACAGTTAAATTGTAGTGTTCATTGGTTTTAGCTTCTTGTTATATGCAACTTTTTGAGGACCCATTTTAATGATATAAAATTTAGTTTTAAACTCTTAATTGCTATGTGAACTATTTCTCCTAATTTCTCATCATTCTGAAACCCATGAATAGTCGTTCAGTTTTCCTTGAATCCCCAGCAATGGATACTCAATATGTTTACTAATGTTCTTCTTGTACAGGACTAAACTTGCAAAACAGCCCTTAAATGTGTGGAGTAGGTAAAATGAGAGGGGTGAGATGTGTGGATAACATGCACTCTGACTGAATAGGAACTGCTTTGGGGAATAGACAAAAAGAGGTCAGTTCGAAGGGATTTAGGTGGAATTTACGGCAATGATGTTGACAAGTACTTCTACATAAATTTGAACCCTGAGGACTATTGTATTGCCCAAACATATGCAGCCTAATAACTGGTCATGCTAACACGTGTTGGAACATGCCTATGGACTGAGCGCATTGTTGTCCAGCACGTGGCTGATTGATAGTGGGAAACGACAGCAGCTGAGAGGGAGGGGGCGTTGTCCTGTCACAGCCCTGTCCAGATGTGAAAACACTGTACACATGGAGCTAAATGACTCAACCACAAGCACAAATCCTCTGACCTCATCTCTGTCCATTATTATTGGACAAATAACTTTAAGTACATTTAGATGGGTGTAGATTTTGTCTTTTTTCTGCTATTGTTGTTGTGATGTTGTATTAAATGAATGAATAGGAGAAAGAATTTTAGAGGGACGAGTAGCTAATGGTAGATGTGTTGTAGGCAGAAGTGACGATGAGATGATTTGGATTTTATTGGATTTGAAATGGAGGAATTTGACAGTATGGGTGAAAACCAAAAATGAGCTTTACACAAAAATAGCAAGTTGGATTAGGTGTGACAAAGATGGAAAAGGCAAAGACATATGGCTTGATGAAAAATAACATGGTTCATAGCAATTAACAATTTAAAACAAACTATTATTTCTTTTGAATGGTGAAAAGTACTTAAGATGTCACCTGAACAGGAAGTAAACTCATGACTGCCATCTTTGTAGACAGACATTGCTAGTTCATGTAAATTCAACATAATCTATTACCAAATTCCTCTTTATGTTACACAATGATGAAAAATCTTAACTGTTTTTCTTTTGCTTTGTGGTTTTGGGAAAGTCCTGCTGGGGATTCAGTTCTTTTTTTCTTGCTACACTAAAAATATGTCTTGTCTTGTTTTCAGTGAACAGCCTGGGCATCAGTGATGAGTTGAAACAGAAGCTGCAGGACGTCATGGTGGACAGACACAAACTGACTCTGGGAAAGACCCTTGGAGAAGGTGGGGTCCGACCTTTAGCTCCTAATGTTTTTGGGAAAGGGGAGGAGGTTGTATCAGTAAAAGTACAAGGAGTGTCTGACATATTGCAGCTTGACTTTACAGTACTGACAGCTCTTCTTGCTGTTTTTAAATAACTCATCATTATTAAGCTGTTACTTGCCAAGAATGAACATACTTTTACAATTTTTTTTTTAACAGAATTAAATTTTATTAATTTATTAATGCATGTATTTATTTAAACATTAGGAATTTAGTTTACAGTATGTATTTTAGTTTATTATTTACTATTATTTCAGTGTTAACTTTTCCTTTACACTTTATTACAAGTTTAGCTTAAAGCCTCACTGTGTAACTTCTTAGCCTCAAAAGAGACTAAAATAAAAATCTAATCATTTTCATTTTGAAAAACATGCATACTCCAAGCAAGCTTGCATCTCCACAGATTTGATTCTGACTTGCCCTGGGAAATGGCCTCATCCTGCTTGTCTCCATGGAAATGTTGCTCATTGGTTATTATATTCTACAATATTGCATAAAACTTAATGGAAAATGTTAACCTTTTATTTCTATGGAATTATGTGCTGTCTTCAAAAAGTTGCATGCTGTTGTTTTATGTTTTGTGAATAAATATAAATTCTAGGTGTTACGCTTCACCCCCTCAAACATTAAATCTGATTATAATGGTAATGGCTGCAGTGTATTTGATGTTTTTTGTTGTTTGTTTTTAGGAGAGTTTGGCTCTGTGATGGAAGGGCTGCTCACTCAAGAGGAGTCTGTTCTGAAAGTGGCTGTAAAGACGATGAAGAGTGAGTAGAGTTAGAGCTTTACAATGAGTGTCTTCTTTTTGGGAACACTGTCTAGTTCATAAGCAGCAATCCAGTGTGACAAAGACAAGGCCTAAGGGCTTGAAATCTTACTTTCTGATCAGTAAACTATATCACTAATAAAAGTAATTCTTGTCTCATTTTAGTTGCCATCTGCACACGCTCTGAAATGGAGGATTTTCTGCGTGAAGCAGCCTGCATGAAAGAGTTTGACCATCCCAACGTCATGAGGCTTTTAGGTAAACCACCATTCAAATGCTGTCTTGATATTTTTGCACTTTAGAACAACAAGCTTTATTGCAGGATTGAAGAGAGTTCATAACAATGTATAGGCCAATAATATTTGATACAGATGGGAGACAGCTGAGTTCTAGAGTTTTGTCTTCAATAGAACTTTTCCTTTGGATATTTCTTAAGAGAATACCATGTAATAAATAAGGAAATCTGGCTCTTTCCTCCTCCTATTTCAGGGTGTGACATCCTCAAATAAATTCTGTAATCTGAAACCCATGGTGAAGGAGCAGTTATTAAAGGATGACAAATTGACGATTAACAGTTCATTGATGTAGTATGAGCACTGTTTTATTTCTAAAGATCGTCCATGCATATTTTTGAGTTTATTTCATTTTGTTTTATAGCAAGTACAATTTATAAGTGTTGAGTGTATTTCCACACACTTATCTTGTGCGTGTTTATTCAGGTGTGTGTTTGCAGACAGTGGAGAGTGAAGGTTACCCGTCTCCTGTGGTGATCCTGCCCTACATGAAACATGGAGACCTGCACAGCTATCTGCTCTACTCCAGACTCGGTGACTGCCCTGTGGTGAGTTCAATTAAACAATCAAAATGCCCAATCAGCTGCACACTCACTGCACAAACACAACACAACTTTATTGGCCCAGTGAGTTCAACATTTTATGTCAGCAGAATGAGATCCAAAGGTGAGCAGCACAAACACACCTACTGACCCATATTATTAAAGAACAAATTCTGCTTGATAATACATACAAGCATAGCTAGGTGTTCTAAGGAAAAATCTGGAATAAAGAAAAATGCAATAATTGTACAAATAGCTACAAAGCTGGAAAAAAGACAAAGTACATTAGACTAGAAAACAGTAAATATAAATATAAAAGTACTACTCCACTCCCACACTCATAAAGTGTAAAAACAAAATTTATATTAAAAATGTCCCTGTATAAGTTATATGTGTGTGTTCATATATGTGTGTTCAATGTCAAAATTGTTGTCGTCATTGAAAGTTCTGGTTCAAATGTTTTTTCTGGGGACAACAAATTTATCATTTCACCCCTGACCGATTACTGGCCTCCACACAGCACGAGATACAATGCATTATTAGTGAAGTCATTTTTGGACTGAAAGTACTTTACGCTGCAAGTCCCAGCAGAGTGACTCAAGATACTCAGAGTTAATCAAAACAAGACTAAAATGTTCCATGGATTTGGCAAACATTTAGAAACACAATAGAGCTGAACCATGATTTTCCCATAGGAGCTCTGTGTTAAAACAAGGCCAGCCAGTTCATACTCACTCCATATAGCACATCCACATACACCCCCTGCTGTAGAGAAAGTGTAATACACTATGTTTTGGCAACTTACTTTTTCTGCAACTGTGGAAAAGTTTCATTCAAAGGTGTGAGTCTATGGAACAGTCTAGATGAAAAAATCTAAACTTAAAAAAAATTTCAAAGAAATGTCAAATATGATATGTCAAAAAATATATGAAATGAATTGTAACTGTGCTTTTGTATTAATGAATACTTAAATAAGTCACTTCTAAATGTAGCTGTTACAGATTCATTCATTGTAACATCATTATTTTATATCCATCTTAAATGAATGAATTAAAATTAAAAAATCTAGTGAAATGAAATGGACCATATTAACCCCCCTCTCATTGCCCTACAGTACCTCCCCTCTCAGATGCTGGTGAAGTTTATGACCGACATTGCCCGAGGAATGGAGTACCTCAGTAACAAGAACTTTATCCACAGAGACCTCGCCGCACGCAACTGCATGTAAGCAGCACTCTGTTTCACTTCCTCTAAGAGTTCCTGCTCTGTTCATTTCTCATGTGATGTATTTAGTGAATATATTTAAAGTCTGACCTGATCAAAAGTGGATAGACAAAATGTCATGTCAAGGAAAACATGCATTAACTGAAATTCAAGAAAGAAAGAAGTTTCATATTCATTATTTGTACAACTATAATTTGCATATTTTTCTGTTTTAGGTTGAATGAGAACATGAACGTTTGTGTGGCAGACTTTGGTCTCTCTAAAAAGATCTACAATGGGGATTACTACAGACAAGGGAGGATCTCAAAGATGCCAGTTAAATGGATTGCAATTGAAAGCTTGGCTGACCGTGTTTACACCACTAAGAGTGATGTTGTAAGTTTTCTTTTAAATTTCTAAATTAATGTTACTAATTAAATGTTGTTTTTGTTGTACTGTGTTTACAAAACATGATATTGTTTCTGTAGTGGTCATTTGGAGTGACGATGTGGGAGATTGCCACTAGGGGGCAGACGCCGTACCCTGGAGTGGAGAACAGTGAGATCTATGATTACTTAAGACAGGGCAACCGCCTCAAACAGCCTCCTGACTGTTTGGACAGCATGTGAGTGACTGATCCCTTCCTGCAAAAAACACACTCAGATATTTCATCAGATTAGACGTGCACCAGAGGCTTAAACTCAGACACGTTAATGTAAATCTTTAAGAATATAGTTACATCCTTTGATAGAAATGATAAAAAGTTATTCTCTTAGTGTTTAAGTCAGGGTATGGATCTGATTAACACCTGCCATAATTAATCACTAATGTAACTACTGTATAAACTGCTCTTATGGACTCTTATGGTTTGTTCAGTGTAACTGTAATGTATTTTTAAACAAATCAAATACATGTTTCCATCTTCAGCTACACCTTGATGTTCTCATGCTGGCTTCTGAGTCCCAAAGACCGCCCCTCCTTTGAAACCCTGCGCTGTGAGCTAGAGAAGGCTCTGGATGATCTACCGGACCCCCAGGACCCTGATGAAATCCTGTACGTGAACATGGAGGAGTCATCCATGGAGCTGGGGGCTGTGGGTGGGCGCGACCCTAATGTAGGCCCCTCCCCTCTATGTCTAAAAGGTCTGGACTCTGTCACCACTGTGGAGGTGCACCACCCGAACCGTTACGTCCTCTGTCCACAGCACGAGACCAACCGGGCCCTATGTGACTCTATGGAAAGTCTGGACATGCCCATTTCATCATCCACTGCCACGCTGCCCTTACAGCCGTCCTGCCACTCCACGCCCAACCTGACCCCAGCCCCCACCCCCACCGTGGAGCTGCTAGAGGACAGAGACAGGAGAGTGCCCTGGTAGTGACGGTCAAGGACAATGAACTATTACTGCCAATGTGCCCATATCGAGACTGACTTTATTGACTGTAAAACACACAACGTGCCCCATGAGATGCTTTTGCACAAATGTACTCGTGCCCACACAGCCGAAGACATTCCACAGAAGAGATGCAAAACAAAGATCAAGAATAACCTTATGACATCTGTGTATCAACAACAGTAGTTTATTCATTCAATTGGCCAAACACCACTTTTGGTACAAACAGGCCAAACAGACAAGACAAAAGCTACGGTTTTGGAGATTTTGTTCCAAATGCCATAACAAATCTCTTTGATCAAATACGGCTGGTATATTTTGGACTCCCTTGTACGTTCCTATGACATTCACTGTATGCATTCAAGAGGACACACTGCCGGACAATCAGTATCATTTCAGCTCATGTAGGTTCTCATTTCACATCTGTCCTTGAATGAAACTAAACATCTGTGAATCAGCTGTACACTGCCATAATGCATTGACACTCAGGACAAGGACAATATCTGAACAAGCATTTCCTTACAGTTTTTTGTTTTTCCAACAAGTTTTTAACTTACCAAAAGGGCTGTCAATCAGAATTTCTAAGTTGTCCAACCTAATTAATAATATTTCGTGTTATGTTTATTGCAAGGAAAAGTGTTGAATTTGAAATGCAGGTACTAGTCCAAAGGGACACATAAGATACTGAATAATACTCAAAGGTTCAGACACAGCAGCTCCAGATGTGTTGATGCCTTTACATTTGACAAAAGCACAGTGTTATTATTATACACTTTGTATGTTTTGCTGATATGATTTTGCACTAATGTTTGAAAGTCTTATTTGTAAATGTTTACTTTTTCTATACATGAATTTTATAATTTCGTTGGCAAATATTCAGGCATTGCAAAATATGGCCTTTATCCTTCGAAAAGTAATGAGTGACCATATAAGTCATTCTGCTTCTCTCATGTTTAGGACTGTTTCAGCTTCTTTGCACAGACCTGAGCAGCTTTTCAACAAGGAGGCACTTAATTTAAAATTTATTTTAGTTTTATTGCCCATGAGATTTATAGGCCACACGTGTAAGGAGAAAACCTCTTCTGATAAGGCTCTGTGTTTTTAGTTTGGTACTCTGGTACTTACAATGGTACTGTAAAAAGGAATGGTTGACTTGTTACGTTCTTATTCACAAATATAATCTGTTTGGTTTTAATCATCAATTTGAGTAAGATGGATGAAGATTGTGATACCAAACCAGGGAACTCAGGAAAATAATAATCTAGTTCAAATTTAATCCAGTCCTTATAAAATGTAATATTGTTATCAACATTATTGTATATAGGACTCAAACTAACAAGTCTGCGTTCTATTTTGCTGCCACTTTGACAACTATTGATTTCCACTTAAGTTTCCACTTATGTTTATAATGTAAGGTATACATGTAGCCTAAAATGTACATTTCATGAAATCTACAGTTAAGGTACTGTATCTTAGATTATAAGGCACTGAGCTTTTCTCGTGTATAGTGAATGTATGACATTTTTAATGGTTACTCATCTATTTAGCTAACTGATGATTTTGACCAATTTTTTTTATAAAAGGTTCCATCAACTTCCAAACTTTCCAAGTGCCTTGAGAGAGCCAGTATTTTTCATGTTTGTGGTTCTCCTTTTTATTTGTGTTGATTGGGAGATGATTGTACGTAGTTACATTTATATTGCCATTCTTTTGATTTTTATGCATTTTTATACCTGCAGTATTTTGTATATGAAATAAATTTGTTTCTGTATAACCTCTTCTGTTATTTAGTTAAAGGTGCACTATGCTACTTTAACTGGTGGGGGGGATTTCTCCTTGTCTCCATGGAGATGTCAGTGCCTTTCCTGGATTGTTCCACAGTATGGCTTTAAAGTTATCCACTTTGTATTAATTCAATTACAGGCATTATTGATAAAAACATACCTGGAAAACATGCATAAACAGCGAACCAAATGAAAAGTTACATAATGTTCCTTTAATCAAACTAATAGGCATGAAAGAGCATAGATGAGGTATCTTTATTAGTCATGTAATGCATAGTTCTTCATTGCTGTGTACATTCAGAAGTGGATGTAGGAGATCTGCACATCGCCGTCTATCTGCAGCTGGTCGATCTCATTGAATGACTGCATGCGGTGGAAGAAGTCAAACAGGTGCTGTCCGTTCACAAACACTTTAAACCTCTGATTTCCACAGCGAATTGACATCTGATCAAACAGAAAACACACAGTTAGATATACAGCCCTCATAGACATATACTGCATCTCTTCTCATTTCTCACATCAAAGTACTGTCCCTCTGCAAATGGGTTGAAGTTGAGTTCTCGTTCCTCGTTGCCCCAGCCCCCTCCTATCATACTGTTTCTAACCACGATTCCTTCACTAATCCTTGGATTCAGGTGGAAGGCAATGTCCTGTGTTCTACTGATCACAAAGTTTATAGCCATCCTGAAACACATGCAGTGTATATTAACAGTAAGAAAACTTACTTTAAACATCTCCTCTAAAGAACACATAAGTACGCACAGTGACTACATATTAGCCACATACCTGTTGCCTCCATAGGGCATCATGCCTCTGATGATGATGGTTCTTTTGGGAAACAGCCCTCCAGGAATCATGCCTTGATATGGCACAGGCTGAAAAAGGAAGAAATAATGATAGATAAGCATAGTTAAATGAATATATATTTGCTGCTGTTGCAAACAGATTGCCTTCTTTTGACTTCTATAATTGCACTATTCAAATTAAGCCTACAGCTATTCCATTTGCTTCCACTAGAGGGAGGAGTTGTTTTCTGCTGCAGTATTTTATTTTTACAGCATACTCACTGGGTTGTAAACAGGTTGACCACCCATACCCTGTAATCAAAGGTCAGTATTAAAGGTTGATAGTAAATATTACCAACAGCCTGAACAATGCTGTTTGTATTTTTACCGGAAGGGCTGATCCTGGGTATCCACCCTGAAAGGAAAGAGAGTTTATTATTACTTGTTTCCCATTTTTACATGCAATTTCAGGTTTCATTGAGTCTCTGTTTGCATACCCCCATATCACCACCTGGGTATCCTCCCTGTAAATAGAATATAAAAACATGCAACTTATCTACATGCTTTATACTGGTTCAAATAAATCATATTGCTTTGTTTTATATAGTACAAAATACAATAACCTACCCCCATATTTCCTCCAGGATATCCACCCTGTAAAAGAGATCAAATAAAAATCTGAGCTTATCTTTTATGTTTGCGTTGCATGCATTACTACATACCCCAATGTTGCTACCAGGGTATCCTCCCTGTATAAGCAAGCTTTAGTTAAAATATAATTTTATAATTTCACATATCTATCTTTTTATATATATATATATATATATATATATATATATATATATATATATATATATATATATATATATATATATATATATATATATATATATATATATATATATATATATATCAAGAAAGGGCAGCTTGGCATAAATACATGAAAATGCATACCCCCATGTTGTCTCCTGGGTATCCTCCCTGTGTGAAAGATAGGAGTACATCATGATTGATAATGTGCTGTAAAACTGCAAAAATAATAGATAAATCAAAAAAACTGTGTAGTCACTATAGCACATTGACATACCCCCATGTTGCCACCTGGGTATCCTCCCTAAACAGGAAAGATAGCATTTTATTGTTTTTGATGATGTGTAATATCATATATATTATTATAGTAATTATTATATAATATTTTGAATTTCCAGAACAGCCACATACCCCCATGTTGCCTCCTGGGTATCCTCCCTAAATGTGAAACATACACACTAGATTGGACAATTTGCATAATTTGCATAACTGATATTGTGAGAATATTACTGACGACGTACACCCATGTTGCCTCCAGGGTAACCTCCACCCATGCCCGGGTAACCTCCACCCATGCCTCCACCCATGCCAACCTAAATGAAGAATGATCTATTATTTAGTGAATTAAATAATAATCTGGGAAAATGTAATTGTGAAAAAATAAAACATTATCTTAAACAACAGTGAATGAGTACAAATAATAATTTTAAAAAAAAAGTCTAAACACAGTTTTCACAGGTTCAGGTTCAAAGATCCTAACCCACAGTGCTCCATTCTCACCCCGATAATGTTGATATTCTGAACAGCCACATCTCCTGCAATCTGCAACCCTCCAACCCTCTCCACGGGGATTCGGTGTGGGAACATGTGAAAGTCTTTACCATTGACTCTGATCTGTCACAAAGTGATTTCACAGTGACACACTGTTCAGATTTACACAATACATGTAACTTGTATTAACTGTGTAACATTTACTTGGTAGCCCTGTGATGTGACCATGATCACCATCTCAAATCTCTCTCCTTTACAGAAAGGCATACTTCTGATCTTGTCTTCTGAGTCCCAGCAGTCATTCTGACGGGTGTTGAAGACCACCTTGTCCCAGCCATCAAAGCGAGGGTTACAGTGGAGGGCGATGTCATTAGTGTCAGACTGGCCACACAGTAGGTTCACATGAAACCTGCCAATGATAAACTCATGATTTATGGCCCACATGCAAACAGGTGAGCAACAGGGAGGAGAGGGCACACCATGTTTTGTTTGTGTTGTAGCCAATAAAAGAACAAACCATAAGACAAAACTGCAACACCCCCCAGACCCAGTGTTAATGTATGTTAATATATGTAATTCTCTAAGTACATGTCTGTATAATCCCTCAGTTGTGCAGGTAGGTTCTGCAGCAAATGAAAATTTAAATCTGTCGGCAAATTGTGGACACAAGTTTTTAACAGTAAACACTTTTCGCCACTCATCCAAGCAGGCACTAACTACACAGAAAACAGTTCATCATTCATCCAATGATCCATCCATAATTTGGTCCACTCCTGTCCAAACCCACTACAGACTATAAGAGACTTTACCTGGTGATGTCTTCAGGTATAGATCCCTGGATGTAGATGGATGAGCCCTCCCTCAGGCCTCCATAGATGGGCCCCAGATAGGGAATGCTCTGAATGGTTGAACATGACATAATAATTAGACAGAGCACTTCTCCAAATATGAGAACATGGCAAAAAAAAACTTGTACAATTTGTAGACCAAATTATACATTTTTATGCAGATTATTTTAAAAAAGCTAATAACTTACCCATTATATATTTATCTATTTATACCATTTATATTGATTTAAGATTTGCAGGTACTTACAGGGTTGTAGACAGGCTGGTAACCAGGAGGTGCAACAAAAGTCATGGTGAGAGTTGAAGCAAAGAATGGACCTCAGGTAAAGGGGGGTTTTCACAGTGGTCCTAGTTGGTTTTATGCAGGTGTAGAGGAGGGGCATGGCAGAAAACGATGCCCTGACTGGTTCACTCTGTTTGTTTTGGAGGTGCAAGATGCAAATTAACCTCTGACCCAGGAAAGGAGTGGTGCTGCACTTTAAGTAGTTGACATGTACTTATTTAAACTATGTAGTATTTTATAAAACTATTATTACTGTAGTAAGTGCATGCAGAAAGGTATGAATAGGCCAAAAAGAGCAAAAATAAAAAAAAAATTAAAAAATTAAAATTGCTTTGAGACAAATGTGGAAGAAATGTGTGTAATTCATAAAATATTCAGTCCATCCTACGGCAAACACAAACTCAAGTGAACCTTATCTAAACTACTCTGTAATACAAGTGGAACAAAGAGTTCATAGTGACTCAAGGTGTTCCACATAAATACTTGATACTGAAGATAAAGTATGGCAAGTTTTTTCTGTTATTCCCAAAGAGCCTTCCACATGCTGGAAGTAACATGCCATGAATTTCATCACAAAATACATTTTCTACAATGTGTTTTCTTTGTTGACTGCTTTTCCAAAACATTTGTATACTAGAAAGATAGGTTGTATTGGACATAAAAGTATTTCACCAGTGGTGCGAGGGACTTTCAAGTAACTCTTCATCTACTAGTTGAAATGAAGCCATTTTATCAGCAACCACTTGTGTTAATATTTAACCCTAACTTTTTTGCTATTTAATACAAGAAATTCTTCCTGTCTTTATATCTTATAATAATATTAATATGAATATTTTGTTAATATTTTTTATGATCCAAAATTATGACAATTAAATTCTTTAAAATAATCCTTTTATTGTGTTTTGAAGCACAAGTTTCAGTCAGAGGGCACTCCATGAGGTGAAAGACGTAATTTTCATTCAGTTCAGTACAATGTGTGAATTACAACAGCACACATTTCAGATATCAGTGAACTCAATGCTCCGCTTTTGCAAAAATGGCCCTAAAATACAACTGAGAAAATACAAGGGACAAATGAGTGTGCTGTGAAGGAGGCAAGAAAACTGCCTGAGATCCACACATCACACAACTTTCTTAATACAGAGAACACAGGCTTCCTAAAAATATCTATCATAAAAATCTAACTAGCAAAACAAGTCTTTTGCTTCTAACTATTGTTAAGTCAGAAACATCTCCTTATAATGTCCATAAACATAATGAACATGTCGTTTAGTATAGTTTAAACTCTTCAAAGAAAATAAATATATCTATATGATGTATGTAAAATATGTCTCTTCTTCAAAAGGCATCTCTCTTATCATTTCTATTAACACTTTGGCCTAGTGTTTATGAAATACATTCAGTGGTTATCAGAATGCGCTGAAAGAAACATAAGTGTGCATGTGCAAGTGTCAAAACAGACCAGCTCAATATGCATCAAAACTATAAATAAATAAAAGTGGTTTCTTCCCCGACCCTCGTGTTGGGACATTTTAAGTATTTAAGATGCTGGCGGGCAACCACATACATCCATTGAGATGCATTGTAAGACTTCTGAGTGGATTCAAACTGGTATATTGGGTTCATGCTGGTAAATTTTTCTCTGAATAGGTTTTGGGCAGGTCATTCCTGTAAAGAATTTCCATAAAGTATCACTTTAACACAATTTTAAAGTGTCGAAAAAAATGGTATGCTATGGCTGCATTCATTGTGATATATTTCCACTCATGACACTTGCTCAGTAATTGTACATAAATATCTGATGGCAGCAGCCACATCAAAAGTTCTCCAAACAAAATAAATAATATTTCAAACAAAAGCTAGATCTAAAATGTTCAAAGCGAAAGCAGTGACATTGCTATAGGCACTAGAACGTTCACAGCAGCAGAGAGCCCAGTGTACAAAACATCTGATATGCAAGGCAGCCTATGTTGAGTATCACACAAAACCAGACTGTGTTCTTGGCTTTGGAGTCGGTTTTCATATTTCTCAGATCTGCTCAGTCAATATCCTGTTTAACCAGTACAAAAGTGCAGTCAACGTGTGCATAGCTTCAAACATGCACAACTAAAGTGGGACACACAGTGGACTTGTACATGTCTGATCCTCGACTCCTCCGGATCTCCTCTCGTCATCTGAAGGAATTTAACTGAGCTGATCCTCATACTGTTTTCTGAAACAGTCTCCAGCCGGGAAGAAGTCCCAGCATCGTTCCTGGTACATCTTCCACACATAGGACTCCTAATTCGGTGAAAATAGTTTTAGAAAAATAAAACACTACAAACTGTATGTGGCTTGTTTCTGTAAAAATATACCGACCTGTCCTGTATGCTCTGTTTCATCTTTATTGATTAGATACATCAGGAAGAACCTGAAGGGGAAAAAAATTAACTTTTTAACTGAAGCAGACATCAATCACATAATATAAAATGGGGTCAAACTTACATATAATTGGCTAAATTATGCTCTTCCAGTGTATGTGTCTCAAAGCCATGTGGCGTTGTGTCAAAGTAATCGCTTCCTATTCCACAGATGAAGCATTTAGTCTGAAAAAGTGAAGAAAAATTTAGTTGATATCAAATATCTCCAGATGCTATAGACTATAGACAGACTCTATTATCATACCTCCATGTCCTCTCGGACTTGCTCTTGCTGGTCTCTCAGCTCACCAAAAGCATCAATAATCAAACCTAACATGAATATAGGTTTGTAAGTTTATATTAGCATCACCTGATATGCTTAATACCAGTACAATGCATAAGTAATGGTAAATATCCCATACCCTGAATGATGGCCAACAGGATGACAATGACAAAGAAGAAGAAGGTGATGTCAAAGACCACACGGTACAGCTCATATTCATCACCAGCTGGGTCTTCAATCTCATCTCCAATACCACCACCAGCACGCACCCCCACGTACATGTGGAACAGGTAACACTGCAACAACCCACACATTAAACACACTACACAAAGCAATAACAAACAGTATTTACATCACATAATATGTCCTTTGCTCACAGTCATCATGTCATCACACTTCATGTCTGGCTCATCCTCGTCTTCACTCTTGTTGTAGAACTTTCTAAAGAAGTTAAAGGCGACGACAGTGTAGAGGTAGACCACTACAGCCAGCAAGCCCACTGTCATCACCAGCTGTGCAAAGAAAAGCATAATTTTGCAACAGTATTTTTAGTGAGTGAGTAAACCCCTGTATATACCATATAATATTCAGACCTGTTTGCCATTGTGAGTAACAGAGGACAGGATGGTGCGCAGGGTTTTGACTCCCATTGCAATATCGAGCAGATGACAAGCAAAGAAGAAATTGTTGTAGTGTCCGAGCAGAGACATCAACATGTACCAGACCAGGTAGAGGAAAGTCTAAAATCACAAAATACAAAAAAATTACAATCATTAAGACATTGCATTAATATTATTATTATTAATAATAATAATAAAATAATAATAATAATAATAATAATAATAATAATAATAATAATAATAAATTTATTAATTATTATATTATTATTATTATTATTATTATTATTATTATTATTATTAAGCATCATGGATTTCTTTTTATTTAATTCTTTTACTCACATTGTCAGTGAATACAACTCCAAACTTCCAAATCTGATACTTGATGTCAATAGATGTAATCCTACAAAAATAAAAGGGGAAAATACTTTTATGCATTTTTCAATTTCACTGACACTATTTTAAAAACATTACCCACCAGCTGAACATTGAGGTGTCTGGTTCAGGCTTCTTCTCATGAGTCATAGCGCTGACATCTAGAGAGGCCAAGTCCATTCCAAGCAGTTCAGCAATCCTCTCCCTGCCATAGATGTCACCATATTTGTCGAGCACCTAGCAACAGGTACAGATGACATTAAAAACATTTACTGCATAGTCAACAATTCATGCTGCTACAGAATGAATCCCCTCACCTTTCTCTTCACAAACTTGTCCCAGTAGTTGTTAGGGAATGTCCTGTAATCACCCACAAATGTTTTATTATATTAAGAGAGCAAATACTGAATGTTGAAAAAAAAAATTGTCTAAAATGCTAAAATATTAAAGATGCAGTATGTAACTTTTCAGATGAAGAGTCGGTCATCTGTCTATCTTTTATGGAAATGTAATTGCTTTGCCTAGAATTTTCCAATGAGGCAAGCCCCCTCACAGAAAGGTACATTATTTCAAGATATTGTCTTTGCATTAAAAGCACCTGAAATTGAACAGATGCAAGATAGGTCAGTTTAATGCTATACTGTGGAACATTCCAAATCAGGTGAAGGTGCCTGACCCTTTACCAGAAAAGTTACATAGTGCATCTTTAATATTGGTTGCATAATACATTTACAGCATATATTTATTACTCCAATTAAGACAAAACAAAGTGCACTGTATCCAGTGAATGTGTTTTAGTTTTGCATAACACATAATACTAAAACAGTGATACGTACGGGGTGTTCAGCACAAGTCTGTCCCATTGACCTTTGATGTCATCATCCTCTGGCTGCTCAGTCACATAGAGACCATCAAACTCTAGTTTTCTAGCCAGTTCTTTCTCTCTCTTGAAGATAACCAGAGGCACCTGAAGGAGCAGGAGAACATATAATGCAATGGCAATGGCTTAAATGTGTATCATGCTTTACAAACTCAAGAAGCCTGTCAAAGTGATACACTGCCGTAATTTTTTAATCAATCGTCGCAGAGTGGTAAGCTACTTTAATAGCTATAGTCCAGTTTAGGTCTAGAAGCAAAATTAGTAACAGTGCCTTGCAATATGAACTGTAGATCAATAAAAATAGATGCAACAATTAACAAATAGCAGAGGCAGCAATTAAAGTCATATGCAGAGAATTAAAAACAATACTCTATTTTCAACAATTAACATATTCTTAAGGTGTTAATAATTTGTATTCAAGAACTACTATGCCTTCTAATTGCAATCACTATACC